CCTCAGCTACAAGTGCGAGTGTTCCTTGCACTTCCCAGCTACCTGGGAAGCTGAAGTGGGAAGATCTCTTGAGCCCAAGAGTAATAGACCATCATGGGCAACAAAGTGGGACCCTGTCTTCAAAAAAAAATTTATATCAATATTGGTTCATTAATTGTGAAAAGTGCATCATACTAATACATGTTAATAATAGGGATGTTAATAATAGGGAAAATAGTATGAATTATACAGCAACTCTACTATCTTTGTAATAATTCTGCATATCTAAAAGTTTGCTAAAATATAAAGTTTACTTTTTTAAAATTTAATTTTTAGAAACTGTTATCATACATGAACTGTGCATATTCTTTCCTAGGCCTCCAAAAAGAAAGTATATATGCTCTATAACCTGCAGCCGGACCGGTCTGTGACTGGTGGAGCCTGGTACAGTGACCAGGATTTTGAATCTGAATTTGTAGAAGTACTTAACCAACAGTGTTTTAAATTCCTACAAACCAAGGTGAGGCATAATTGAGGAAACATCACCACAAGTTATGTTTTAAAAAAGTTTCTTCATAAAGGATGTTTAATCTTATATACTACATTTTATAAGATTGAAAAGAACTGAAGTTGGTTATTTTTAGTAAACAAATGTGTTCTACTGTTGGTTTGACTCAGTATAAATTGCATTCAGAAAGTGCTTACTACATTCTTGCTTAGATCTCTTATATTCCAATCCCTATAGGCAGAAACAGCACGAGAAAGCAAACAGAATCCAATGATACAAAGAAATAGTTCATTTGCTTCTTCACATGAAGTATGGAAATATATCTGTGAACTGGGAATAAGCAAGGTCAGAACTTTCTTATCTTTTTATATAAAATTTATTCTTCATCACAAAGATATAATGTACAGTGTATACCAAGCATTATTTGACCAGGTCCCTTTTTCAGGTAATAGCTGTGAACATTCTGCTGAATCTACATTGAGAAAACATTGTCCTAAGCTTTAGGTAAAGGCAGTCATTCCCATTGGACATTGCTTAAACCATTCTTGAGTTTGGGACATAGAGTATCCAAGTACAGGTCTAGTGGTGCATTTCACCATCCAGAGTCATAAATTTATTCTAACAAGTTCTTCACCTTTGCAGAAACAGTTTAGCATATGTGCAAAACCTCAATCATGACATCAGTTATCATTTATTGGTATTCTTTGCTGCTTACGTGGCACTTGTTTTTTTGGGGGGGTTGGGTTGGGAGGGTACTGGGAATTAAACCCAGGGCCTTGTGCGTGCTAGGCAAGCACCCTACCACTGAGCTACAGCCCAGCCCCTGAAGTAGCACTTGGACAAGTCATTTTCATTTTCTGGACAACAGATTTCTAATTTATAAAGAACTAGAAACTTTGCAAGCATATTAAGAATCTTCATAAAATTCTTGCCAAAGAAATGTTTCTTTAGGGTGGTGAAGACTTCAGAAGTGTCAGACTCAGTCTGAGGTTAGACTTTTGTCCCTAGCATTTCAGGGGTTTGTGCTAACTTGGAGCATCGTTCACCCTCCTTGTGCTTTCCATTACTCCCCTCCAGCACAGTGCTTCGCCATTTCACCAAGGAATTGTGACTCTTTACTGTTTATAACCCCTCCAAAAAGATGTCTTCTTATCCTTTATGCATCCCTTCTAATTTATCTCTTTTTTTTTTCCAGGTAGAGTTGTCCATGGAGGACATTGAAACCATCTTGAATACTCTTATTTATGATGGGAAAGTGGAGATGACTATCATTGCTGCAAAAGAAGGCACAGTTGGCAGTGTAGACGGACATATGAAACTGTACAGGGCAGTCAATCCAATCATCCCACCCACAGGTTTAGTCCGAGCACCCTGCGGGCTCTGCCCAGTAAGTTAAAGTGACTTCACTTTACTGCCGGGTGTAAATGTCACAGAGCAAGCACTCCAGTTTTCCCATACTATTTAGAGTTGACCAAGAGCTGTTCAAACCTTCATGCAACCTTGATGAACAGACCTTTAATGAACAAACTTTGCCTTACATTCTTTCTTGGAATAACCAGGTTAAGGACATTTGCATTTCTTCTCTTGGCCCTGAAATAGACACTTTTTTTTTTTTTTTTTGATGAGGGCTAATCATTTCATCTAGGGAGGGAAATGAAATTTGTTGAGAATCTACCACTGGCCCAGCATGTTCTTAATGATTTTCATTTTGTGGTCTCATTTAATCCTCCTTATGTCCTGAGAGCAAATAGTGTTATTTCCCCCTTAAGAGCAAGGGAATTTAGGCTTCAGAAGACCTAAAAGCAACAATTTAGAAGCAACTGTCAGAATTCAAACCCCAAAATGATGTATTTTTCCCCATATGTCCTAGCACTTTGGTTTATTCATTCCCAGGTGGGTTTTGAGCACTAACTGTATGCTACAGGTACTGAGGCTACAACAGAGCAAGAGACACTCCCAAGTCCTCATAGATTTATATTCTCAGATTGCTAGTCTGTGCTATATTTCATTTTACTGGCCCTTGTCTATATGCCCAAGCTTACTCTGTCCTGATTTTAACTCATAGATAAAAGACTAACATTGGGAATTCTGTTTAGCACCCTTCACAAGAAGGAAGATAGCTAAACATGAAGCATTCAGTTAGACTAAACTAAGTCATTCATAGTATAGGACTCTCTTCTTGCATTTCTGTTTCCTCCTGGTAGCCTTTTACTCAGTGGGCAGGTAAACATAATCATTTTAATGCATCAGTAAAAGGCCTCCCTTTAAACTATGTTCAGAAAGCAGTTCTATTATAATACGGTGTTAAATATACCCCTAATCCTGTTCAATTTTAAAAGTTGAGAAAAATATTGTTTTAAATAGTGGTTGGGTCATAGATATTTTTAAAAATTCAGTTTGAATATAAACTTTTTCTTTTTTTTTTAAGGTTTTTGATGACTGCCATGAAGGTGGTGAGATTTCACCATCTAACTGTATTTACATGACAGAATGGCTCGAATTTTGATGGAGAATGATAAACTCTACTGACATTATACAAATGAAGTTGCTTGGAGACCAAATAATTTAATTCATGATGGAACATCAAATTTCCTTGAAAGCAGATTCACAGTAAATGGATACAGACTTGCTGCTATGAAAACCTGTTTTTTTATTTATAAAGACTAAATTTATATTGGTAGAAAGGCCATTAGAATATGAAACAGATGAGGTTAGTAGTGAAATCTGTTCTTCTGTAAATTAAAAAATTGAAGCCCTGGAGAACAACATCTTTTGAAGTTTTCAAGACTTTTGATGGATCAAGGAAAAAGAAACAACAAACCCTTATTTGCCAAGTACTATGGAAATAGCTAGAGCACAAATATATTCATTTTAAAGTTGTTTATTAAGGTCTTCGTTAAAAATTTTTTATGTCTGGCTCATTACCACCATTTTTGTTTCCTGTTTTCTCAGTAGTTTCATTGAGAAGAAATTAAAAATGGTGAAGACAGGAACAGCACAAGAGTATATGAAATCTTGAAGAAGCATTAAGTGAGGGAGAGTAGGACATTCCTTTTCTACACACTATTGATTCCTTCCTATATCAGTAATATTCTTTTGAAGGATTATGCTACCATACCTCAAACCCAAAGGATGAATATTGTCAAGGATGTTTCAGTGTGTAAATATTATCATTTTCATCATAAAGGGAATATTTTCACTTTTCCTTTGTCTTACAGGCTTCATTATGTGGCTCAAGTGTATTCTTCACCAGAATTTCCCTGGATTCTTATATGATGTCTACAGTGTTTATGTGCCTGAACTCTCCCATCCCTGCAGATTCAGATGTTAAAATCTAATGCACAATGTGATGGTATTTGAGGCCTTTGGAAAATAATAGTTTGAGGATGGAGTACTCAAGAAGGGAATGTGTGCCCTTTTAAAAGAACCTAGAGAGCTCTTATTGTACCTTCTGCCCTGTGAGTACACAGGGAGAAGACAATCATTGGTGAACCAGGAAGTGGTCCTCACCAGACACCAAATTTGCCAGTGCCTTGATCTTGGACATCTCGGGCTACAGAATTGTGAGAAATAAATTTGTTGTTGATAAAACAAAAGTCTGTAGTATTCTATATAGCACACAGAAGGGATTAAGACAGTGTGTATCCATTTAACTAGAACTGAAACAAACAAACAAAAAAAACCATTGCCTTCCATTCATACTTTATTTTGAGGGTGATGGGGACAGTTCTTACCCTGTTTTAGATTTGTTTCTTTTCCTTACTGTTCTAAAACTCATAGTGTCACATAATCAAAAAGCCACTACTGTGTAACTGTCTTGAGATCTATTAGCACTCCTGGTTCTATTCATCAGTATAGAAAAGTATAGTCGTCCAATGTAGAAAACTCTAGGTTATTTGATGTGTTGTTGCAAGGAAGGTAGATATACAGCTTTTTAGGATCTCAGCGGTTGTGTTTCACTTTGTGAAACACAGGCCAGACCCACAGAACCAACAACCTAAGGGAATTCACACACAGCTCCTCTTGCAGGCCTAATTCTAACACAAGTTTGGAGATGTTCTAAGGGGACAAGATTAGACTAGTTATTTTAAAATAAATAGTAAAATTCATTTCAGTATTCAGTTTTTATCATATAAATTCTGTGGCCAGCTCCATAAAATTCACATTTAATGACAGGAATTCCTTATAATAAAAACCATTCATGTATTGGATGAATATAAGCTATAAAAAGATCTGGAAGCCTGAAACTACAGAGGATTTTTCTTCTAGTGAGAGTTGGAATGGTAAGAATAATGTCTGTCCTCCTTGGAACTTACCTATCAAAGAGACACTAGTCTTATTTAATAAGAAAACTGAATTTGGATGAGAGTAAAAATGGGGAGATGGAACCAATTTGTGTTTTAAATGTAGATTTCACAATGTGTCTTAATAGCCAGTGATTGATTTTTAAAATTTACAACTAGTGTCTAAAAAAGTATTTCCTGCCTTGTCAAAATAAAGAGACCCTTTAAACTTATTTTGCTATAGTTTGTATTTTATTCTGAATATTAACTGAAGGAAAAACAGACAATAATTTTAAAATACAGCACCTCAGATATATATTCAATGGATTAATTATTCTACAGAGATAACCTGGGACCAAAACATGATAAACTCATGACAATATCAAAAAATTAAATTTGTAAATAAAGTCCTCTAATACTTAGTTGATTTCCTGTAAGAACAATTAAGTTCCTTACTACTAGGTTTTAGATATTTGCTCACCTGGGGATAGATGACTCCTCAGACTTCCAAGGAAGTCTCTGTTTAATAATGATTTATGGATTATCAGATTCTGAGATTCCATGATTTTATGGTTTTTAATGAATTAAATATAGATTCTCATATGAAACTTGGATTCAGTTTGGCAATGAACAAAATTTAAAGTTACTACTTGATGGTAATCAACTAAGGAAAGTAATCAAAACAAGTAATTTTGGGACTTAGAATGTAGCTCAGTGGGAAAGCACTTCCCTAGCATGTTTGAGGCCCCAAGTTTGATTCCTAGCACCACATCACACAAAAATAATTTCAATGAAGTCACTTTTACTTTGAACTATTAGAGGTGGGTGAAGAAAGCCCTAGACTAGTGCTGACCATTAGTTTTCTATGATGGAAATATTCTATAGTTGCTATCCCATAACAATCACTAGCCACTTATGGCTGGTGAACACTTGAAATTTGGCTTGTGTGACTGAAGAACTGAATTTTTCATATTTCAACTACTGTTGTTACTGCTCATACTGGGCAGCAGAGCTCAATAGTCATATGTCTAACTTAATTGCTCTTATAGGAATAAAGAATATTCCCCAACTGTATACATTTGGGGGTTTTCCCCCATGGAGGAAGAGGAAAACATTGTAAACTGATGTTATAAAAATAAGTGTTTAAAGAAAGAAAGGACTTTAGAAAACAAGACAGTAATAAAATACTATTTCCAAATAATTCAAATAGAATCAATCTTTGATTATAGGTTTGATCTATTCAACTGCTGAATCTAATCATCTTTTTACTAGCTTGACAAATAAGTTATTTTAAATCTTATTTATTTTAATGATTAAAGTAATACATATAAAGTGTTACAAATTCAAATAGCCACCTGGTGAATAAAGGAAAATGAGGACATCTACTACACTACCTACCAAATTCCCTTCTCCCAAAGATAATTGTTGTCAAAAGTTTAGAATGTCTTCTCTGACTTTTTTCTATGTCTAAGTACATGTAGAAACTAAAACCTTTTCAGGTTAAAATAATGGTTCTTGAATCCCTTCAGGAATAAACAATGTGGGAAATCATATTTCTGCATCAAATTCAAGCTCTCTAACATAGAGTGTAAATTCACAGAAATTGTGTTAGGCAATACTTAGGCATTATAATAGCCAGAAAATGTTGAGAAATGAAAAAAGGGTTTCTTTGTGGTTGTGGGTTTTTGTTGTTTGTTTTTCATTTTTTATTTTTTTTTAAGTTGAAGATGTACACAATACCTTTGTTTCATTTATTTTTATGTGATGCTGAGGATAGAACCCAGTGCCTTCCACGAGCTAGGCAAGCACTCTACCACTAAGCTACAATCCAGCCCGTTTGTTCTGAGGGAGTAGGATCAGAAGAAAAATCTTGGAATGATGCTTGAAAGAGATCTTTAGGAAGTCAAAAGGTTGAACTCTACATAACCATACTTGGAATAAGACTTTGTAACAAAATCCATATTGTTCCCATGTTCTTCATCCTTTAAGATTATGTTTGTTGTTGTGTTTTTTACTTATGTTTTTCTTGTGCTTTGTAGAGAATCATCTGTGTCACTTGGCTAATGGATGACTTGGATTCTATCTTGTAATATTTTAAAATTTTTTGGTTTACAGTGTTGTTGCCAACTAACATAATCCATATGGAAAATGATGCATATATATTACATATATATTACATTCCCTAAATTTTAAAAAACTAAGATTTTTTTTCCTCAAAATGTCAGTCGGCTGAGCACAGTGGTACATGCCAGTAATCCCAGCAATTCAGGAGCTGAGGCAGGAGGATCACAAGTTTGAGGCTAGCCTGGGCAACTTGGCAAACCCTATCTCAAAAAATAAAAAAGGAAGGGTGTTGCTCAGTGGCAAAGCACCCCTGGGTTCAATTCCCAGTAACAACAACAACAACAAAAAATTAAAATTGGCAACACCTTGTCAATTTCCTCAAGGCAACAATTCAGAAAGGACATGAGCTCTCCACATGACCCTGATCTTACCAGTCTTGTCTTACAAAAATTCGTCACCTTTGCTGATATACAGATAGCCTGTGCTCCTGCTCCCAGCAAGACTCAGGGAGATCTTTGACCCGGCATCCTTATGTGTTGGTCTCTCAACCTGTCTGAAGGACCAAGGGGCAGTGGGTAATGGCAGTGGTAAAGGCCCAAGTTTTATTTGAGTCATTTACTCCCTCTTTACAATATTCAGAGCTGACTGAAATACAAGTTAGTGTGTTGAGCTCTAAGCCAACACTCTGGACCTTTAGTCATATTTTCTCTCTCCAATAAAACAGAAAAGTTTTATTTTCAAAGAGGAAAAGAATACTATTTTATAACATATACGAAAATCTATTTAGTTTTAATCTGGACTGAGAATCAGGACACCTGGTTTCCATTTCTGACTTTGGGTCTTTGGATCAATAAGGATGGAACTACCTGTAGGTCCCCAACCAAATAGGGGGGAAAAAGAAAAAAAAAAACCCTGCAGTTCATAGCAATTTGGGAAGATTTAGATACTACAGAAAATGGAAATGTTGTCTGTAACTCAGTGTGATGTTGAAACTTGTATTTGTTTTTCAGGCACTTTTGGAACTAAACTGGATGTTTTATATCTAGTTATTGTCTGATAATGGAAGTTATTACTCTGCTCCTATATGGGAATACAAAACAGCAAGCACCAGATTATGCTGGTACTTTCAGCACAGACTTTACCACATTGATCAGTTCATGAAACTCTGTGTTCTGAAAGTGGCCGCGATCAGTGAATTTGTACAATTTGGCTTCCAACTTATCTGCCACTTCTTGTTGTTCCTTCCAGGGAAGGAAAGGATCATCAGTGGAGCCAAACTGCACAATGTGAGGGCAGTTGGCCTTGATCTTCTCCCACTGCCAGGGACGGTTGAAGTATCCTATGGGGGGAAAAATAACCTGTCAATGCCCATGAATAATCTCCATTTCAGACATTCTGGAATATCCAGTGGAGACCCTTACAGAGACACAAAGGATCAGGAACCATGGATGAATGAGAAGCACTTTTTCTTTTTTTTCCTAGACCTGCAAGGCTTTCAGATCATAGAGGGAGTAAATGACTCAAATAAAACCAGCCCTCTCAGAGTTTTGGTTGTAAAGAGGTCTATTACCTTTCAAACTGCCTTACATCAAAAGATAGGTGATAAATCTTTCTCATATGCTATTAGATTTCCTTCCTCCATCCCTCTGTTTCATTTACTCAATTTAAATGTTTTTTCAATTTAGCCTATCTGAAAGAGTACTATTTTATAGTCTGAACAAGTAACCCTGTCTAGAAGGACTTTTGGGATTTCTGCCTTCAGACTTACCACTTGCACGCTCATTTTCATCCCCCAAATCTGATGTGTATGCTGACACTAATATAATAGCATATACTCGATGTGTTTCTGCATATCTGGAAAGAGAAAAATTATGTCAGCTAATATATAAAATCTGATTAACAAAAAATCAATAAGCCATACATGTATGATTGCACAAATAGTATGTCTCTACACCATGTACAACCAGAGAATTGAAATGTTGCACTCCATTTGTGTATTATGAATTGAAATGCATTCTGCTATCATGCACAATTAATTAATTTTAGAACAACAACAACAACCAAAGTCAACAAGCCACCTAACTCATTTGATTACAGGAAGCATGCTATTGCAGTTGTTTGAAAAATAGCAAGGAAATTGTAGGACAAGCCCAACCCTGGCTGCTTGATGAACTCCTCCTCATTTCTCAAGAAAATTCAAAGCTCTGATGTGTGCGTTCATTCACCTTTAATATGCATTGGTATTGTTTTTTTTCCCCAGATCTGCATATTCCCCGCTAATCCCCAGAGGATCTGATTCAGGGAGTTGGGGATAAATGCCCAGGAATCTGTACTTTAAGGGATGATATCTCCCCCAACCCAGATGACTCTAATGCAAGTGATATATGAACCATATCTTAAGAAACACAGCCTATATGAGAAATGTACCTCTATTATCACACTTTCCACATTGCATTATATTATTCATTTGTTATGTATTACATCTTTGTTCCCCATTAAACTGCCAGCTCCTTAAAAGGAAGCTTGAACATTGTTGATCTGTCTCTGGTACCTAGTATAGTGCCCAGCAAGTAGATACCCAGTTAACTATCTTTAGATAGTACCATTACTCAGCAAAGACTTGGCTAAGGAAAGAGGTGGAATAGGAATTGTTTGAAGATGTTTCTGTGGCACAAAACTTTTAAGGTTGGTATTTTGTTCCTTGGTATAAACTTTTCCTCCCAACTGTTTATTTTTAAAAATATAAAACCCATAGAAAAGCTGAAAGAACAAGAAAAAGCTAAATTCATTGCATTTTTTACATTTCACCCTTACTTTACAATGTATTTCTCAAGAACAAGATCTTATATAGCTGCAGTACCACTATTATACCCAATTAACATTGATAAAGTAATTATCTATATTCATTTTCTCCTAACTGTACCAAAAATATCCTTTAAAACTATTTTACATTCCTAGATAATCAAGGATCTTGCATTGCATTTTATTTTCATGACTCCTAAGTCACTTTTAAATCTTTCGTTTTAAATGACATTGTTCAGTAAGATTTTAGACCAGCTGTACACTATTCCCTAATCTGATTTTGTTTTCCCATAACTAGACTGAGATTCAATATTCTTGGTCATGTGTCCTTCCAACTTCATCCTTCCAGGGACACATGATGTCAGTCTGTCTCATTATTGGTGAGGTTAAGTCTAATCACTTGTTTAAGGTGACATCCACCAGCCGTCTCCATTATTATAAAAGCACAATTTCCCCTTTGTGATGAATAAGTAATATAGGGTGGTTCTCTATAAATTGTGTCAGTTTCCTTTCTCCTATAACCTTATGCTGACAGTTTGGGCATCCATTTTTCCCCTTGCCTCCCTTAATTTCAGAATATAATTCTTATGAGGTTGTTGACAATCCTGCAATAAATTCAGAGGTCATTAGAAGAAGGCACATCTTTATAGCCTGTGGCTTAAGAAAAATTCAGTTGACCTTGAATTTGGACAGATTTCAGCAACAAAGGAATCTCTTCACTTTCTAGGCACCCCTGGCAGCTTGTTAACATCTTATACTATATTTGTACCACTATTTCATTTCACTAAAAAGCATTATTATTCCTGCAGTTTTGATCATTATGGCTAATCGGTTATGAAATTTGGCAAGATTTCCTAATGTGGTTCATGTGATATCCTGAGTGATTGCTTGGGGCAAGTGGCTGTACAAATAAAAACTATTGTCCTCTGTCATCCAGTTTAAGAAACTGCCTGATAGGCTACTCAGTCAGCTAAGTCTCTGCCCCTAAGGTGAAGGGAGAAATGTGATGTCCTAGTGGACAGCACCAGGGATATACCCACAAATTCTAAGGACTGGGAGGTTGCAGGTAGGTAGGGGGTAACAGCCCCAACCCTCTAAGAAATACTTATTAAGCATCTACCATATACAAGGTTCTCCTCTAAGCAGTGAGGTATCAATGTCAGAGTTACAAGGGCTTACATTCTGTTGGCAAGAAATAAACAGATGTCAGATGATGAAAAGGCTACAGATAATAGGCTATAGGAGGACAGGAGCCAGAAGGTGAGGATGCTGTTTCATACACAGTGATTGAAAAGACATTACCATAAGCAGACGTTCAAGCAGACTGAAAGAGGAAGAGAAAGCCATACAGATAACTAGGAGCAGTGTCCCAAGAAGAAAAACAAGAGCAAGTGTTTGCTGATGACATAAAAGATTAAAAAATAGAAAAACAACAACAAAACTCCACCAGAAGACTTCTAGAGCTTATAAATGAATTTAGCAAAGTAGCAGGACACAAGATCAACACCCATAAATCAATAGCTTTCCTATACTCCAAAAGTGATTTGATTGAGGAAGAAATCAATCAGGAAAACCATAATCTAAAAAACAAACAAACAAAAAAAACCTTGGCATTAATATTATGAAGGAGGTAAAAAAGCTCTACAATGAAAATTATAGAACACTGAAGAAAGGAACTGTAGAAAACCTTAGAAGATGAAAAGACAACCCATGTTCTTGGATAGGCAGAATTAATATTGTCAAAATGGCCATACCACCAAAAGCAAAATATAGATTCAAAGCAATCCCAATCAAAATACCAATAATATTCTTCACAGAATTAGAAAAAACAATTCTAAAATTCATTTGGAAGAATAAGAGAGCCAAAATATCCAAAGCAATACTAAGCAAGAAAAGTGAAGCAAGAGGCAGGCACCTCAATACCGGATCTGAAATTATACGACAGAGCTGTAGTAACAAAAACAGTGAGGTATTAGCACCAAAATAGACATAAAGACCAATGGAATAGAATAGAAGACATAGAGAAAAGCCCATAAACCTATAGTTGTCTGATATTTGACAAGGATGCCAAAAATATATCTTGGAGAAAAGACAGCCTTTTTAACAAATGGTGCTGCAAAAACTGGATAGGTGTATGTAGAAAAATGAAATTAGATCCCTATCTTTTACCCTGCACAAAACTCTAATCAAAATGGATCAAAGACTTAAGAATTAGACCAGAAACCTTATAACTTCTAGAAGAAAACATAGGGTCAGCACTCCATTATATAGGTGCTGGCACAGACTTCCTTAACAAGACCCCCAAAGCATAAGAAAGAAAACTGACAATCAGTAAGTGAGATGCCATCAAACTAAAAAGCTTCTACACAGCTAAGGAAACAAGAGCTCGAAGAGAGAGCCAACAGAATGGGAGAAAATCTTGGCCAGCGACTCCTCCAATAGGGGATTAATATCCAGAATATACAAAGAATTCAAAAAACTTAATACCCAAAATACATACATACATACATACATACATATATACCCAATCAATAAATGGGCAAAAGAATTAAACAGGAACTTCTCAATAGAAGAAACACAATAGGCCAATAAATACATGAAAAACTGTTCAACATCTCTAGCAATCAGGGAAATGCCAATCAAAACTACGCTAAGATTTCATCTTACTCCAGTCAGAATAGCAATGATAAAGAATACGAACAACAAGCCCGGCACAATGGCACACACCTATAATCACAGCAGCTCAGGAGGCTGAGACAGGAGGATCTCATATTCATAGCCAGCCTCAACTTAGCAAGGCCCTAAGCAACTCAGTGAGACCATGTCTCAAAATAAAAATACAAAATAGGGCTGGGGATGTGGCTCAGTGGTCAAGTGCCCCTGAGTTAAACCCTGGTACCAAAAACAAAAAGCAAAAAACAAACAACAACAAAAAAAAAAACAAAGAACAATAAATGCTGGTGTAATTGTGGGGAGAAAGGATACTTATACATCATGGGTGGGACTGCAGACTAGTACAACCACTCTGGAAAGCAGTTTGGAGATTCATCAAAAAACTAGGGATGGAATCACCATATGACCTCACTATCTGACTCCTGGGTATTTTCCAGATGTAAAATCAGCATACTTCAGAAACATAGCCACATCAGTGTTTATAGCAGCAGAATTTACAATAGCTAAATTATGGAAGCAACCCAGATGCCCATCAATAGATGAATGGATCAAGAAATTGTGGTATTTCTACACAATGGAGTTCTACTTAGCCATAAAAAGAATGAAATTATGGCATTTGCCAGTAAATGGATAGAAATAGAGAATATCATGCAAAGTGAAATTAGTCATATTCAGAAACTCAATGGTTGAATGTTTTCTCTTATATTCAGAAGCTAGAGTAAAATAAAGGAAAGGGGAGGGAAGGATAAGATTTATATAAAGAACCAATCCAATACAAAATAATAGAGGAGGAAAAGGAAGTCTAGTAGAGGAAGAAGAAGGGGAGGGGAAGGGCAGGAGGGAAAAGGGGAGATCATGAACTAATAAATTTCTGTGCATGTATGAATTTGGATGAAACCAACTGCTTATGTATAACCATAAATCTCTAATTGAAAAAAAAAAGCAAAAGAAAACCAAGAGCAAGATAAAGAAGGTATGTACTTGGCATGTTCCAGGAGCTGCAATGAGGTCAGTATACCTGGTTGAGAGGAGAAAGGGTGGCAAAGACATCAGAGGTAAGTGACAGGAAGCTGCTGGGGTTTGGAGCCACTCAGATTTTAAGTCTCACTGCATCCCCATAAGTATTTTTTTTCAAGCCATTAACAAAACTAAGAAGGAATAAAGATAGGTTATGTTACTACTTTTGAGGTCAGCACTATTTCCTCTGTAATGGAAACCTAAGGTATATACAGGTATTTCCCAAGGAAGTATGGCTGGAACTCATGACGGGGCTGGCAGTTCAACAAAGATCTCACCTCATGGCTGCAATGGCCCCAGAACTGTGGCCTATGATGATGGTCCTCTCATCACAGTGTAGCTCTGTCTCCATGAAAGGCAGCCAGATACTCTCTCGAGCTGTAACTAAGATTCAAGGTAAAGAAAGAGTCTGTGATTGGATAGGGACAGTCTCAATCTAATGTCACCCCATCTTTCTAACATACAACCATTTAGCAGTTCACAGCTTTTAAACTACATGATCTCAATAGAAAATGGGCTATTTTAACTGAGCCCATGATGTGTGTGATGTGAACTAAAATGCTCAAATCCATTGTTTTGTTAAATAGTTTTGCTTTTGTTTTTACCATGTTATGTTTAAAGAACACTGAAGAAATAATAAAATATAACTGAAACTTTAAACTTTCAAGCTTAATAAAAATATTCTTAAAGATTCACATACATACATATTCTTTTTTTCCTGAAACAAGTCATAGATATACTCAGAACAAAAGGGACAATATTACTTATTTTTTAATATTAGGGTCTCAAATAGAGGCTGTAAAATTTTATCATGTTTCTGTCTCATATGGAATACCCACAAATTTTGCCTGAATGTAGACTTATAGAAGAGAAAATTAAGTTACAAAATTCAAAATTAAAATTTTACCATGCCCAGGTTATTTTCTAGATCCTTACTAGAAATTTCCATGGTTTTTGGTTTACACCCTTCTCCCCAAGCTACTTGCTTTATTCAAAACACACACACACACACACACACAAACACACCCCTTTGGTTTCTCTACTATGATATACCTGTTCTCTTCCCCACAAAATGGTAAGATCTAAAACCAACAAGATAATGCTATTTAAAAAGAAGTTTAAAACTTACTTGGGTCAGGCATGTTTTTAGCCAGACACTGGAAACCAGGTATCTATGATATGAGGGGGGTAAAAAAAAAAGCTATAATTAAAATCTTAATTGCAACTAATATTTTCAAATAACAAAAAAAAGACACGTGATATGATCTTCATCAATTCAATAAGTGTTTGCTTATATTATGGAATAAAGTGGTTAAATAATGCTACAGAATTACATATGAATACACATCCTTCTTCATAAACTCCATCTAACCAGCTCTGTAGATCTCTACAGAAATAGACCTATATCTGCATTTGCACATCTGTATTTATCTCTAAGGTCTATATCTATAGAGAAGGCTTAAATGAATGTGTTCTACACAGATTGAGCTGGAGCCAAACAAATTGTGCCCCAGGTTGAAGGTAAAACATGGTACGGAAATATGATACAGAAAGTTGGATATCACATCCTCTTGAACAGCTCCAGCCCTGACCCTCCAGCCCTGGTTTGTAGCTCTGCCTGTGGCTTTCTGCCACAACCCAGAAATTCTATTCCAGAGACCTTCTATTCTTCTGAATTTATTTACTCTATTGAATTTCTCTGAAATTCTATTCTAGAGGTCAACTCAGGAAACAATCTTACTGCTGGATTATGGAAGAGGATTTAAAAACAGTCAAAATGTGCAAGACATTTTGCACAGTAGAATACCGTTTTCACAAAGAAGCCAAACAATATGGTTTTTAAAGAATACATGAGTTTTAAAAATAATTTTCAAGGGTTGGGGATGTGGCTCAAGCGGTAGCGCGCTCACACCACATACAAACTAAGATGCTGTGTCCGCTGAAACCTAAAAAATAAATACTAAAAAGTTCTCTCTCTCACTCTCTCTTAAAAAAAATTGAAAAGTCTATTTAAAAAAAATAATAATAATTTTCAAAAAGAAAAGCAAATGAGGGCTGGGGTTGTGGCTCAGTGGTCGAGCGCTCGCCTAGCACGTGCGGGGCCCCAGGTTCGATCCTCAGCACCACATAAAAATGGATAAATAAAGATACTCCGTCCAACTAAAAAATAAATATTAAAATATAAAATGAATATTAAATATTAAATAAATATTAAAATATTAAATAAAATATTTTTTTAAGAAAAATGAATTTCAGGATGGCAGAGGGATGGAACGACAGGCATATAAATCATTTAGAAGATAGTTTGGTGATACATTATATTAAGCTTCATAATTTACACACATATGTCCTTATTATATATTGATTTTTTTTAACTGGAAGCAGGACGCAATAAAGAGATGTAAAATTACTTGGGAAGTCTCAAATTTGAACTATCAACAGATGGGGAGGGATGGGGGTTTGGTTTCTTTAATTTTAAATGCTTCCTTTTACTCTAAAAACTGAGCTCTAAGAAGTCTTTGCCAACCAAAATCTTGACCACTAGTTCTAGAGTTTGACAGAGGGCAGCAAAGGGGAGGAATAAAACACTCAGGGCTTTCCTGGAGGTGGGGTGGATATATATTTAAACTTCAGTCCTGTGTCTCCTCACTCCCTCCTCTCTGCTCCAGGCTGACTTTCCAGAGCAGAGAGGCATATATATGTATCTTACCTGCTCCAGCCCCCTTTTCACCCAGCCATACCAGCCGTGGGTGGCCACATCCCCATCTCCATTCCCAGGAACAATCACTGCCTTGTTAGGAGAAGCCATGAGTGCAGAGAGGCCAGAGACTACCAGTAGCAAGCTGGTTGTGCTGTCCTCAGAGCCAAGACTGCATCCGGCCAGGACCCTGCACTAAGGCATTCTGGGAATTGTAGTTCCCAAGAGCCAATGGGGCAACTCTTTAACTCTGGCTTTCCTGGCTGGCAGCCTGTGCCAATTCCCATCAAATTTTCTTTTATTTGCAAAACCTTGCCAGTTTCCATCAAATGCAAATAATTTTCTACTTGCCTTTTACTAGTGCTCTTGTCCACCCCTCCCTTATTTAGAACAGGCTGTGACATGCCTAGAATTTGTTACTTTGCTATTAGACTTATGATAGATATATCTATAAGAAAGGGTGTTTTTAGTTTCAAACATGGAGAATGCAAACTATCTATAACTTGGGAACTCCTGAAATCTACATTATATTTTCTTTCGGTTTCAAATAAGTACTTAGTAGAATGTCAATATTAGCCCTATTTGTGATTTTCATTGTTGTAAACGCTGGCCTTTTAAAAGGTGTCATCAATTGGGCATGGTAGGACTCACCTGTAATCTCAGTTACTGGGAAGGCTGAGGAAGAAGGATCGTTAAGTTCATGGCCAATATGGAAAATTTAGTGAGACCTTGTCTCAAAATAAAATAAAAAGGGTTGGGGATGTAGCTCAATGATATAAAACCCCTGGGCTCAATTCCTAGTTCCAAAAAAGAAAAAAGTTATTATTTTCATAGGGTATATGGATAATATATGTAAACCAATTGTGATTTTGGAGAAACAGGTACTAATGAAACATCCTGCCTGTTATAATAGAATCCTGAAATCTTAGGAAGTGGTTGTAACTTATAGGCATATCCAAACCTTATTGCATAGAGGTCAACAGAAGTTTGCCTGTGCTATTATTAATGAGAATGAATAGGAAATTGACTCTTTTTCTTTGTCCCTTTATGGACTTACTCAATGTGAATGTCAGGCATGTTTTTGCACCTATTGTTAAGAAAAACTCTGTTCATGTATTTTGAATAGGTACAGTGGAAGACAAATGGTAACACTGCTTTACCACCAAGTTCTTCAGTAAGAGCAAAACATATCCTTTCCTCTTGAACTTCAACACTGAATTTTTCTTCTAAAAGTCTCAGAAGAGAATAGAGTAAAAGCAAACCCAGTTTCTCCTTCACACTCAACAGCACAGATCATTTCTGTGATACCAAAATGTGTGGGGATTTCTGAGGCCTAAATTTCCCCAATATGATAATAAAAGATTATCTTTCACTTTATTGGCTCTAAAGCTTGTTCTGAAGCAGGTGCGTGAACCAATAACAAATGGCCAAACACTTTAATCTTATTGTTCTAGTCATTTAAGAAATAACAAGGGCTGTGAAACTTATCCAGGAAAAATGGATAAAAATACATATCATAACATCACAGATCAATGTTATTGAACTAACTGTAAACTTATACTGCTACACACAATACCACAGATGAATCTCAAAATAATCACGCTGAGTGAAATGCCAGACCCGCCCCCCCCCAAAAAAAAGCACGTATCATTTAAGTCCTTTAATTAAAATTGTGAAAATAATTGACATGAGTGAACTTTGGGGGATGATATCTATATTCATTATCTCAATTGTGTAGATAGGTGTCAAACTTACCCAACTGCACATTTTTAAAAATATTTTTTTAGTTGTTGATAGATCTTTATTTTTATTTATTTATATGCGGTGCTAAGAATCAAACCTAGTGCCTCACACATGCCCGGCAAATGCATTACCGCTGAGCCACAGCCCCAGCCCCCAAACTACACATTTTAAATATGTAACGTCCCAGGCTGGGCAGGGTGGCGAACACCAGTAATCTCAGTGACTTGGGAGGCTAGGGCAAGAGGATTTCATGTGCAAGGCCAGCAACATAGTCACTGTCTCAAAACAGAAAATAGGAAGGGCTGGGGATGTAGTTCAGTGATAAGTGTCCTTGGGTTCAATATCAGTACTCCCCCCACACCCCTCCCCACAGTAGCTTATTGTATATCAATTATGCGTCAATATAGGTGTTTAAAGTTTTAAAAAACAAAATAAGCAGTGGCATTCCTATGCCCAAGTGTTTGCTTAGTGTTTTTTTTTTTGTTGTTGTTGTTGTTGTTCAGTAAACAATGGCACAGGAACTATAGGCTGTAAAAAGGTCTTCCTTAAGATTCAGTTAGCTTTTCCTTTTAGGAGAGAAAAAAAGCAATGGTATTAACTCTCACCTTTCTCAGATTGTTTATGCCAATAATGATTGAAGGGATTATGTAATTACATATAATTCACTTTGTTTTCTTTTCTACTTTTATCTCTTGTACAAGTGTTTTCTTGAGTTTCTTATTAATGCAGGAGAAATAACTTTGGTTTTAAAACTAAAAGTCAACATTTTTATGATTTTTTTTGGCAGTCTTGGGAATTGAACCCAGGATATTTTCCCACTGAGATATATCCCCAGTTCTTTTTATTTATTTAAACTTTGAGACAGGATCTAAGTTTTGGATGCAGGACTTGAACTTGTAATTCTTCTGCCTCAGTCTCCAGGGCCAATAGGATTACACGTGTGCACCACCTCACTTGGCTTGAAACAGTTTCTTTAACAATTTGGAAGTTTCACCAATATGATTCACCAGTCTGAACCAGGCAATTATATTACTGAAAACACCTCCTAGGATGCTTAGGCCCAGGCAGGCATTTTTCTTGCCTCCTAGAGTGAATACCCAGTGGCAATAATACTACAATAGTACAACACTATGTTGCTGATCTGTTTCTATAGCTTTCTTGTCTCCTCTCTACTGGTTTTCTGTTTTTCTTTTTGATTCATGCATGAATGGTAAGTTTTCCCCTGTTGTTAGCAATAATGATTAGGAATTTGGTTTTTATATTCTGTCCAGTTGCTAATCTCTTTAAGTGAATTGACAGTTTATATTGATCATCTCTCTCTTGGATAAGAGATGACAGAGAATTGGATTGTTAGTGGCTTTTTTTTTTTTTTTTGTCTTTTTATCAGTTTGTGAGATTTCCTTGCCAAGTGGGAAGAACAGCTCTTCGTTATCTGGTCCACTAAATTTTTATGTTTCTGTATATTTTTCACTTGTGGCCAAAGTTGTAGAACCAAAGTTTTATGTTCTCTATGTTTATGTGTTTTCATGGCTATGATCAATAAAAGCCTTCACCTTTTGTTAGAGAGTTCAAATTTTGTGTTGTAGAGTCTTAATAAGTTAGACTGTTAGATCTCTCCAATTAAGGGACCTCTGTTAGGATTAGTTTATGGAAATAAATACATATATATATAAATCAAATATTCCTAACACTTCCAGCAAAGAAATAAAACTTCTAATGCTTTGTATGTCTATTACAAAAAAAAAAAAAACAAAAACAAAAACAAAAAAACCAAAAAACAAAAACCCCTTCTTGTGAAATTGCTAGTACAAGCCTGATGTGGTAGTGTACACATGTAATCCTAGTGATTTTGGAGGCTGAGGCACGAGGATTGCCAGCCTCAGCAATTTAGGGCTGGGGATGTAGCTAAGTGATAAAACATCCCTGGATTCAATCAATCTCCTGTACAAAAAAAGAAAACAAAGAAAAGAAATTGCTAGTACAGAAAGAATCCAGGTTCAAATAATTAAGGGAAATCTTTGACAAATAATAGTATTTTAATTTTTGGTTTTTTAAAAATAAGCTATAAGAACAGTGTGGCAGCACAGGTCTGTAATCCCAGCTTCCGGGAAGCCTGAGGCAGGAGGATGGTGAGTTCAAATCCAGCCTCTGCAGTTAGCAGGCCCTAAGCAACTCAGTGAGACCCTGTCCCTAAATAAAATACAAATAAGGGCTGGGGATGTGGCTCAATGGTTGAGTACCTCTGGGTTCAATTCCCAGCACCAAAAAAAAAAAAAAGAAAGAAAAATTCAAAAAGGCCTGGGGATGTAGTACATTGGCTGTCTAGCATGTGTGAAGCCCTGGGTTCAATCTTCAGGACCTCAAAACCAAACCAAACCAGTTATATTCTTTCTAAGTGTTAAGTATAATACATGTGCACATGTTCTTACTTGGGCTTGTTTCCTTACAAAGAGAATAACTATTTTCAATTTCCTAAACGGATATAAGTTTACTAATCAGATAAGCTAACATTAACATTGCATAATGTTTAAGATCATGATAAATGAAAGTTTGGTCAACAAAATGAATTATTATTCTGACAAACGGTTTATATTATGGACATTATATTTCATAGTACATTGACTTAAACTAATTTTTCTGATCTGTAGGTAATTTAAAATATTGCTCTAATATTGAGCTAATTAATGCATACTTCTTGAATGCCTAGATATATACTTTTATTTTTTAGGGTTTTAAAATATGCTACAGGAAGATTTTGTCTTAGTAAGTTAATCAACGAGCCACCTTGTAAGAAAGTGAAAAAATGGTTGTGGCTATAGAAAGCTGTGTCCAGGGCTGGGGTTGTGGCTCAGTGGTAGAGCGCTCGCCTAGCACGTGTGAGGCCCTGTGTTCAATCCTCAGCACCACATATAAATAAATAAATAAAATAGAGATATTGTGTCTAACTACAACTAATAAATAAATAAATTAAAAAAAGAAAGCTGTGTCCCATGTAAACATGAACTTTGTCAGTCTCCTAAAGTACTTGAATATGACAGTTCTCAATTCGGCATAGGAATGGAGGTGCAAAGAGGGACTGTGCGCTAGAGCTGGTCTCCACTAAGAGAGTGAAGCCATTCCAAGGGAAAAGAGGAAATCGTGAAAGATGAAAAAGCACTACTACACCTGTTGTATTTAAAATGAATCTTAACTAAAGACTAGCTCCCTGGACAAACAGGTACGCAAGCGTCCTCCAGCTGGCCGCTCCAAGTTCTCTCCAGCCCCGTCTCTCCCGTATGTTGACGCCTTCTTCCCGACAGTTCCAGGTTCCTCCAGTTGCCGGTCTCCTACTTCCGGAGCCCCACGTCACGGTTTTCGCATTCCGGTAACTAAGGCAATGAGGCGGATTTTCCAGTGAGGCAAGCAAACGTCATATTGCGTCAGGGCGGCCCCCCTGGGAAGGCTGGCTGTGTCTAGGGAATGTTCCGGCAATGCCTGGGGTTTCTGAAGCAGAAACCTTTAGTGGCAATCTTAGGGAAGTGGCATCTATGGTTTGAAGTGCGAGTCAGCGCTGTTTTGCCATATCGCTGGATGGCGGAGAAATTTTTCTGACAACATCGCTTCCTCTAGTCGGCTGGATAAGCGCTCTGCGATTGGCTATCGCACGTCGCTGTGGTATGACGTGTCAGAGTGTTGACCAATCGGTTGAGAGCTGAGCTGGACTTGGCGGTGAGAGCCGGAGCCTAGCTTTTCCAGCTGTGGGCGCCGACAGCACTCGCCAAGCGTTCGGCTCCGGCCAGGTGAGTGGGATGCAGAAGTGGTAGAGAGCCGCGGACAGAGGCACACATGCCAGGGCGAGGTGGGCTGTTTCTGGGATGAAGCCTTTTCTGGTAGGCAGGGGAAACGGAGCGAATGGATGACCCAAGAGTCTACTGAAAGTGACGGGTCCCCCGCCATGCCGGGCTGGCAGATCACCGGCTTCTGATTCTTAAGTCTTTAGAATTGCTGGCTGCGCACAGCCGGAAGGATCCTGCTCCCATTTTATAACTTAGCAATTCGAACGTTTTGGTTTGTGAGAGAGGTAAAACTGGAACTTAGGTCTTCAGACACCTGTCAAGACTTAAACTTTATCTTGTCTGCAGATGGCCACAATGCCCTGAAAAGTTACGCCTGGGCGAGATGAGGGTCGTTCAGATTTGGGGGTGGATGCTTCTAGAGTATCTTCCTAGGCTTTTCATCCGTTCGTTCAGTATTCATTCATTCATTCATTCAGCTATTTGACCTCTTCATACCCTTATTCTTTGAGAATTTGGTATAGAACGTGAATCTAATTTCCTTGGAAGGATGCATTCTCTCGTTCACACAGTCTTGCATATGACTTAAGAAAGTCTGTGGATTCTCTAAAATCCTCTGTGAACTATTTGCCCGAGGTTAAGAATCAGTGATCTAGAAGAGTGAGGGGGAGGGGCAGTGATAAACAGATGGAGAAAGTTTTATTATGTGCATACTTGGGGATTAATACCTTTTAATAACAATTTTGAGAGGAGAATGGTCATTTAATGAATCTTGCTGAGGTACTTGTGAGAATTATGATATTAGAACTGGCTCCCCCGACTACCTGATTTAGCTCTTCCTGCTCCCTCCCCTTCAGGAAGCTGCAGAAGTGCCTTCTGTGTAAACAATGCTTCAGTTTCTCCCTTTTGCTCAAATAACAAGTAGCTGGCTTAATGTTTCAGTGAAATTCACATTTTGAATTTTGGTTGTCTGTGTAATATTTCATTTGCTTTTCTGGCCATGTAATATAAGAGCCTTAATCCAAATTATTTGTAGTATGGCACTTCTCAAAATAGTATGGGGTTGGTTGTTATCCAGCACTAGATGAGGTCCTCCTTAGTGATCACTTTAATATCACAGATTCTTTGATCTCTTTTTCTTTTGTTTTGTTTTTTCTTGAGGGGCTAGTTTCCTTGAACCACAATAACTTAGGTGTGTGTCACCCTAGATTCCAGGACATGAACAGGATGTATAAAACACTCAGTTCAGTGAAATTGGGATTGTCTGGGTTTAAAAGATTAGTCTGAAGTACTATTTTATTGACCAGTCTTTAGACATGAGCATACCCCCCCCCCCAAAAAAAAAACATTAAAAAAAAGAAAAGGCATGAGTAAAAGCAACCTTGGTAAGGGAGAAGGTCCTGATGAGAGCCAGCATAATAGTAAGCTTTCCTTTGCAATTAGATAATACCAAATAGAAATATTTTATCTCAGAACTTGTCCCCCTTATAAGCTCAACTCCAGATCAGTATATGTTTCTTTACTGTACAGTTAACAAAAGATGGATGGGAAAAGACACACAACCAAGATTACTAGGAATGTAAAATTTAATACAGTATTGATGCTGAAACAGGATTCAAGGCTTACCCTTGGTCAAGTGCAGAATTGGCTTGTCTGAGATGATGTGTGATCTGTAAGGAAGTTTAAAGTAATATTGCTGGCAAGGGTGGGAGGGTGTGGCTTAGTAGAAGAGTACTTGCATATTATGTGTGAAGCCCTGGGTTCAATCCCCAGCACCTCAAAAATGAATAAATAAATGTAAAAGTGGAATATTCAGCTACACTTAATTTAGAGATGATGATTAAAACTCCCCACTACTTTGTTTTGTTTTAAGTGCTAGAGAGGAGGATTAAGAAAAGAGCAATAGTTAAAGATAACTGAATTAATCAACTTTGGGAAGATAGATATCTTTATCCAGGAGTATCCAGCTAAGTATTTAAGAAATGCTATGTTAGATGACTGTCTTCTTTTTTGAGGTTTAGCTGAGAATCTCAAATATATAGCTAAAGCTTTATCTTTAGTTCCCTTTTAGACTATGGCAACATATCTGGAGTTCATTCAGCAAAATGAAGAACGAGATGGTGTACGTTTCAGTTGGAATGTGTGGCCTTCCAGCCGTCTTGAGGCCACGAGAATGGTTGTTCCACTGGCTTGTCTCCTTACTCCTTTGAAAGAACGACCAGACCTGCCTCCTGTACAGTATGAACCTGTGCTTTGCAGCAGGCCAACTTGCAAAGCTGTTCTCAATCCACTTTGGTATGAATTTCTTTAAAAACTGCTAAAAATGGTGAATACAATAAATTTGATTTGGGCAAGTTGTCAAATTTGAGATGAGTAGTAGATGATGAGATTCTTAGTGATGAGTGTGCATAGAAATCTCCTTGGCCTAATCTCCAGATAAAATTAGAATCTTATAGGAAGAGGAGGGGGATGAAAGGGGAGGATCTGGAATTCACTAATTAACTTTTTTTTAATTTTTTGCTTTTTATCAGTTTGCTTTTGGCTTATCTGTATACTTTATGAGATACCTTTTAAAGTATTTTTCACAAAAATAAAATCTAAAAGCTTCAGGTTATTTTTTTTTTATACTTGCCTAGTGTGTTGATGTTGTAGGACTAGAAGAAGTAATAATCAGAAGAAATTTGAACTCTTAATGATTTTATTGTTAAGTGTAATTTTTTTTGTTCTAAGATAATGACCTATAATATCTTGACCTATATTATTTTTAACACATGTGGATACAATTTGAAAGAATTCTTATTGTATTTATTTATTATTTTTTGAAAGTGGAGTCTTATAGTGTTGCTCAGCCTGATCTTGAACCCAAGGGATCCTCCTGTCTTCCAAGTAGATGGGACTGCAAGATTGGAATTTTGAAATACGTGGCAAGTGGTCATAAAATTTTTTATATGAGGGAGCATTTTTTACTTTATTTTCCTTGCTTTTATTTAGAATGTGCATATTAAGAATGCTGCTGCTCTGCTTTCAAAATTATAGCCACTGTTTATTAATTTTTTAAACCTATAAAAGGGGATAGGAAGTATATTAACTCAAGTGAGGTTAAAGTCTAAGAAATTTTTCCTGTGTGTGAAATGTGCCTTTATTATCAAAATTTGGTAGTTTCACTTGGCTGAACAATAAAGATATTAGAAAAAATCCTGAAGATTGGGTTAAGGTAATAGGCAAAAGGAATTAACTCATAATTTATACAAGTCAAGAAATTTTAAAAATTTATCTAGGATATTGGAAAAGAGAAAAAGGGATTTGCTAATTCTTCATTGAAGTTGTTTGAGGGAAACTTTTTATGTACTTAATAGCCAGAAATCTAACTGCATTGAAATTTTGTAAAATGTCATTTATTATACACAAACATAGAAATACCAGTCTGTGATTTATTGAATTTGAAGTTTACATTTGAATATTTTTTACCTTAAAAATAAAAATGGTACCTGGTTGTGATATTTATCTTTCTCACAGTCAGGTTGATTATCGAGCAAAACTTTGGGCTTGTAATTTCTGTTTCCAGAGAAATCAGGTATGAATTATTTTAAAAAATATTTTATAAGTTTCATTTCTTGTATGTTACTCTGAAAAAGTTATGTGAAATTGAATATCTATGCTAGCAGTCAGCAGTTTCTGCTGAACTGAAGGTGATAGCTTTTGTTAAGCACAATATTGAATGTTGAACATTTATAATTTTTCCACATTTGGATTCTTGTCATTTGCTGTGGAGAGTACATAACATTCTCTTTCCTTGTAGGTTTTCTGTAGGACATGAATCTGTTACCCTAAGAACATAGATCTGTTGTTCTTTTTGTATGTGTGTGTGGTACTGAGGATTGAACTCAGGGCCTCTTGCTGGCTGGCAAAGTACTCTACCACTGAGCTACACCCCCAACCCTTTTTTTATTTTGAGGCATAGTTTCACAAAGTTGCCCATGCTAACATCACACTTCTGATCCTCCTGCTCGGCCTTTTTCTGAGTAGCTGGAATTACAGGCATGCACCACTATGCCCAGCTGTTCATATTTCACTTGACTTCAGTATATTCTAATTGGGTAGTGAATATTACTGAATTTTTGTTTTCTGATCTTTATTAACCTTGGAATTCAAGTATGAGTATTGAAGTTTTGATTTAAAAAATTTAAAACTAGCAAACTAAAAGAAGCTCATAAATGAGAAGAGAGACCTTTTATGGGGTGTAGGTGATAGGGATCAAACCTAGGGCCTTGTTCATAATAAGCACATGCTTTATCACTGAGTGATACCCCCAGTCAAGACTTCTCTTTAAAATCAACTGTGTCTGCTGGCCTTAGTGGCTCATGCCTGTAATCCCGGAGATTGGGAGGCAGAGGCACGAGATTGCAAGTTCAAAGCCAGCCTCAGCAACTTAGTGGGTCCCTAAGAAACTTAGCAAGATGGTCTGAAAATAAAAAATAAGAGGGGGACATGGCTCAGTGGTTAAGTGCCTCTGGATTCAATACCTGTACTAAGAAAATTAAAAAAAATAAAATAATAATAATAATTGTCTATGATAAAAATGTTCTAAACCTGGGCTGTGCTGATTATTATTCAATACATTTGCTAAAAATCATTGAATTTTACACATAAAATTGGTGAATTTTATGGCATGGAAACTATATTTAAATAAAGTGTTGAGGAAAATTAATTGTACACAATTGAGCATACATTGTGCTCATAGCTCTTAAGCTGGTAATAACATGAATTTATTATGATTAATCCTAGATACAGTGCATAGTAAATCCAGTGATGGAAAAACAAGTACAGTTGACGACTGACAGTAGATTCAGAAATTATAAGCTGATTATATTTGAGATTTATTTCCATGAAAGGCTGGGGATGTAGCTCAATGGTAGAATTTGATTCTTAGCAATTAAAAAAAAAATCTCCATGAGAAATTCAGAAGTTTATACAAATCTTAACATTCAGAATTAATGCATGTTTAATTTATCATAAAAAATCTAAGGCAGGGTCACATTTGACCTTTTATGCCTCAATTTTCTTGTCTTTAAAATTAACATAGGGGTTGGGGTTGTGGCTCAGCGGTAGAGTGCTCGTCTAGCACGTGCAAGGCCCTGGATTCGATCCTCAGCACCACACAAAAATAAATAAACAAAATAAAGGAAAAAATAAATAAAATAAAATTAACATAATAATACTATGGTACTTTATGAAATTCTTGTGAGAATTAAACAGAATTAATGAATGTAAATGACTTTAAATAGTGCTTGACACACTAAGTGCCATATAAGTATTTGGTATTAGTATATTTATCTGAGATCTCCACCTGCCAGTTTGGTGTGGAAGTGTGATGTGGAAGACTGTCATACGCTTAAATAATCTTTTGTTATTCTCCCAGCTCAACCATGAGGAAATGAACCCCTCAATGAGTCTGGGGTAGTAGATAGAGATGGCCCCCTGGAGGAACTGGGTTATCTTGTCCTCTTTTTCTGTGCAGTTGACTGCCTGTTAGGTAAATAGGACATCTCCAGATTGCTAGAAGGTAGCCAGTATGTCTGGGTTTACTCCCCGAATTTTGCAGACATAGATAAAGCTCTACCCTTTTCTGCAAGCTGCAGCCATTGGGTAGTCATGGCCAGAAAGGGGACAGGAGATCTTTTGATGGCATATACTGAGATTTCTGCTGGAGTTCTGGTGCCCAATATTCCTTCCCTCCTGGCCAGTGACTCTTTAAGGCTGCTGTCATCTCCTCAGCAGGATTTGCATTTGGTCACTCTAAAGTCACTGGCCTGGAGAGATCCACCTGCTAAATTTGGGGAGATATACCTAAACTTTTAAATATTAAGCTGAAGACTGAAAAATCAGTGCCCAAATTATGAATTTAAAATGTTTGCAGAGAGTTTTAAAAACAAAAGGAAATGCCTGTGTTATTATTTTATATGCAAAAGCAGGTCCCAAAATTGTTTATATGAAGTGATTGTTATATATGGTGTGCTCAAGTGGAAAGGTCTAGAGGGGACAGGCACAGTGGTACATGCCTAAAATCACAGCTACTCCAGAGATAATAGTCAAAATGATAAACAAAGGTGTTAGTCTTCTTTATAGATGAAACAGGTAAATGTTTTGCCTTTAGTTTGCAAGGCAAAGCTTAAGAAACGGTTGTGATAGCATGTGGTTTTGTTTGTTTGTTTTTAGATTAAACCATTGGTGCTCTGCTACTGAGCTACATCCTTAACCCTTTAAAAAAATCTTTTTTAGTTTGAGACTGAGTCTAAATTGTGCCAGCTGACCTTGAACTTTGATCCTTTTGCCTTAGCCTCCTAAGTAGATAGGATTACTGGCATGGCACTAGGGCTTTTAGCTTCTTCTAATAGAGTGACTTTAAACCATTAAATGTTTTAAAATAACTTAAACCTACTCTAAAGAATAAAATAGTTTTTTTTAAACTTATGAAATGATATGAATGTAAAGCAGAATTTAATTACTGATTTTTTTGTGTTTTAATAATGTTTTACATTTTGTGCTCTCAGAATTAACATATAATCATTAATCATCTTTATAAATGGAAAATAAAAGGTGTAACATAAATATCTTTCAGCCCTCACAAAACAGTGCTTTGCTTTCTTTTCAGTTTCCTCCAGCTTATGCAGGCATATCTGAGGTGAATCAACCTGCTGAATTGATGCCCCAGTTTTCTACAATTGAGTACGTGATACAGGTAAATTCCTTGTTGTGTATTTAATGAAATGTGATGAACACTGAGTATCTCTTGAAATCCTTTGTTTTCTGTGTCTCTTGCCAGTCCAGAGGACCTGAAATTGTTGGGGCAGAAGGATCCTAAACATGAGGTTACAGTGTGTAAGCACTTACACTGGTGTTGTTTTCAGGTCTTGGTAGAAGGCTGCAAAAACGGTGGAACTGATTGAATTAGAAAGCCGACCTTCAAAACCTTCTCAGTCTTTGTTGAGGGTGCTCCATCATGTAGTTGTTCAGTTTAAAAGTCTTAGACTTGTCCTTGACCTCTCTTTTTCACATCCCACATCTAATCTGTTATAACATGTTATTGGCTCAATATTCAAAATTTATCTAGAATTTACCCATTTTTCTCTCTTACTCCTAATTATCCTAATCTAGCCACAATTTCTCATTTGAATTATTTTTTAAATTTTTTTTTAGTTGTGGATGGACACAATGCCTTTATTTAATTTATTTATTTTTATGTGATGCTGAGGATTGAACCCAGAGCCTTACACATGCTAGATAAACACTCTTAACACTGAGCCACAGCCCCCACCCCATTCAAATTGTTAGATCAGTCTCCTAACTATTCTCCTTGATTTTATTATTGCCTATTTGTACTGTATTCTTTTTAAATTTGTTTTAATTAGTTATACATGACAGTAGAATGTATTTATGCACTTTGATATATCATACATAGATGGGATATAATTTCTCATTTTTCTGTGTATACATGTTGTAGAATCATATTGGTCATGCAGTCACATATATACATACAATAATAATGTGTGTTTCATTGTACTATCTTTCTTATCACCACATCCCCTCCCTTCCCCTCCCTTCACTTCCCTCTACCTAATCTGAGGTAACACTATTCTTCTCTAGTGTTGTGTTGTATTCTAAACCCAGAAGTCAGAGTAACTTTATTTTTTTAAATTTTTAAAAAATATATATATTTTAGTTGTAGTTGGACACAAAACCTTCATTTTATTTTTTATTTTTTACATGGTGGTGAGGATTGAACCCAGCACCTCACGTGAGCTAGACAAGCGCTCTACTGCTGAGCCACAACCCCAGCCCTCAGAGTAACTTTAAAAATACGTTTCACATTACTTCTCTGTTCAGAAACCTCCAGTGGTAAAAATGGCTCCCCTTTTTACCCAGAGTAAAAGATAGTTTCAAAGCCCTGAGATATACCACTCTGAGCTTAATTTCTGCTAGTGTCATTGTTTAGCTCCGTGGGCCTTCTAGACTCCTGAAGCATGCAGGAACATGCCTGCCCATGGGCCTTTGCTCTGGCTTTTTCCACTGCTCTGGCTCTTTTCTCTATCTGTATCTGTATGGCTGCTGTGCCATACAGATACAGATAGAGAAAAGAGAAAGACAGTATATATGTGACTGTCTTGCTCCCTTCTTCAGGCTTTTGCTCAAATGTTACTTTCTTACTGAGGCTGCTCTGACCTTGAACTTGACCTCTGTTTCTACTCCTGGCGTTTGCTGTTCCCCTAATCCCCTTGCCAGAAAGTTTGCTCCTTGAGATAGGCAAGGATCTTTGTTTTTTCTATGTATGTACTGATATATCCCAGGACCTAGACCAATGTCTGACACATAGTAGGTATTCAGAAATGTAGAATAATTTTGTTAGATACAAACACGGTTTTTTTGTTTGTTTGTTTGTTTGGTACTGGGAATTGAACTCAGAGGTGTTTTACCACTGAGCTACACATCTAGTCCTTTTTATTATTACTTTTTTTGAGACAGGATCTTGTTAAATTACTTAGGTCTTCATTAAATTGCTGAGACTAGCCTCAAACTTGAGATACTCCTGCCTTAGCCTCCTGAGTTGCTGGGACTATAGAATGTGCCACTATGCCTAGCCACAAATATTTTTTATATTTAGTTTGTTTTAATAGAATCTGCATCAGGGTAAGTAGAGGTTTGTGTAGGTGTCCTCCTGAGAATAAATGTAGTTGAAGACTTGACATTTACATGCCTGATTTGTTTGTATTTGTATACTGATCATCATGCTTTTTCCTTTCCCTAAAGCGAGGCGCACAGTCTCCTCTGATCTTTCTCTATGTGGTTGACACATGCCTGGAGGAAGATGACCTTCAAGCTCTCAAAGAATCCCTGCAGATGTCCCTGAGTCTCCTTCCTCCAGATGCTCTGGTGGGTCTGATCACTTTCGGAAGGATGGTGCAGGTTCATGAACTGAGCTGTGAAGGAATCTCCAAAAGTTATGTCTTCCGAGGGACCAAGGATTTAACTGCAAAGCAAATACAGGTCTGTGCTGGGTTTGTATAGAAATGGTAGCAAGGACATTTTTAAAAAATTAATCAGTTATTTACTCATAATGTGATGGGAAATGAGTCTTTTGTTTTTTTTAGGATATGCTGGGTTTGTCTAAGCCAGCCATGCCCATGCAGCAAGCAAGACCTGCTCAACCTCAGGAGCACCCTTTTGTTTCAAGCAGGTGAGATGCTGACATTCAGTATTATGTGCTGTAGTGAGCATGCACGTTGACGTGAAAATAAAAGAAAAGCAATGCAAGTATGTCGGTTTTCTTATGATTAGATAAAAAAGTCAATGAATAAGCTTAATCCATATTTAATGTTTTATCAAAAAGGTTTTGAGACCACTGTATTCATTCATTCCCCTCTTTTTTGGACATATGGCTATTATTCTTTTTGATTCTTAAATAAAACTGGAAAAATGGAAAAGACCTCTTTTGAGTGCTCTCAAAAAAGCTTATGAACAGATACTTTATTCAGTTAAATTGAGTGTCCAGTGCTGACCCAGGTTGTGTTAACTGCTAGTAAACTTGATAAAATGCATTGTCTTCCAGGCTGGGGACAGCTTCCTTCTCTTAAGAAACAAGATTGTTCTTTGTGTTACTCTAAAGCTCAAGGGACACACAAACTGAACCTTTAGAATTGTGCACATTGTCCACATAAGTGGACCACATACAGATAAAATTTCCATTAGACATGTCCTTAGAATTTCTTTTTTTTTTTTAATATTAATTTTTTAGGGCTGGGGTTGTGGCTCAGTGGTAGAGTGCTCGCCTAGCATGCGCGAGGCCCTGGGTTCGATCCTCAACACCACATAAAACTAAATAAACAAAAATAAAGGTATTGTGTCTAACCAAAAAATAAATATTTAAAAAAATATTTATTTTTTTTAGTTGTATTTGGACACAATATCTTTATTTTATTTATTTATTTTTATGTGGTGCTCAAGATCCAATTCAGGGCCTCTCATGTGCTAGGCAAGCGCTCTACCATTGAGCCACAACCCCAGACCCCTTAGGATTTCTTTGCTGCTTAAAATTTAATTAAACTGATTTGTTCCCTTTTAAGTTGATTTTATTCCCCCGTGCTAGCACATGGTCTCGCTAGCGCATGCTCTCGCTAGCGCATGCTCTCTCTATATGTATATGTATGTATATGTATATATATGTATATATGTAATATATATAATATATATATCACTGAATGTTAGGTTTTAAATTATATTCCTTAGTAAAATTGCCTTGAATTGTTTTGTGTTTGTAGAGACAATTTTAAAGAAAAAAATGGCAAATTTTTCCTACTCTGAATAATTATTTTAAATAATTACATGTCACCAAGGTTGGAAGACCAGGCTACCTTATTAAACTATAATTGATATGTCCATTCAAAATCTTACAGATTTCTGCAGCCCATTCAAAAGATTGATATGAACCTCACTGATCTTCTTGGGGAGCTGCAGAGAGACCCATGGCCAGTAACTCAGGGGAAGAGACCTTTGAGATCCACTGGTGTTGCTTTGTCCATTGCTGTTGGTTTATTGGAGGTAATTGAGAATTTATGGGGCTCTCTCACATCATACAAACTTGCTCTTAAAAATCATATTTGGGGCTGGGGTTGTGGCTCAGCAGTAGAGTACTCGTCTTGCACGTGCAGGACCCTGGGTTCAATCCTCAGCACCACGTAAAAAATAATTAAGTGAAATAAAGGTGTTGTGTCCAACTATAAAATAAGTATTTTTAAAAAATCATATTTGTTGGCTTTTTTTGAAAATTCACTGTGACCTAAAGTCATTGTTATTATCTACATTGAAGGAGCTCCTAAAGGTTTTCAAGAAAAAATAAGGGAATTAGAGCAATAGGAACTGCTCAGAATAAAGTAGTAAAAGTATATAAAGCCATTAGGGTGAGAGAAAGTAAGTGCTGTTTTTCTGCATTGTCATTTATATCATTCTGCTGTATCATCAGTATTAACAGCTGATGAGGAGCTGAGAACTGCTTAGCATGCATGAGACCCTAAGTTCAATCCCCAATGCAAAAAAAAAAAAAAAAAAAAGCTCAGGAGAATCTTTTGGAATATTTCTATAGGGAAATTGAAAACACACTTGGAGATGGGCTACATCCTTCTAATATGCTGTTATTTACTGTTTCAGGGTACTTTCCCAAACACAGGAGCCCGTATCATGCTATTTACTGGAGGTCCCCCCACACAAGGGCCTGGCATGGTGGTTGGAGATGAATTAAAGATTCCTATTCGTTCCTGGCATGATATTGAGAAGGATAATGCACGGTTCATGAAAAAGGCAACCAAGGTAGGTTCTCTTGGGTATGGGTTAATTGTGTTAACCTGGTGTCAGGTTTAGACTGCTCTAGAGTGACAGCTGCTTTATTGAGGCCTTCTTGTCACAGTCAAAAAGATTTATTTGCTGAGATGATCTTCCAGATCTTGGCTGCTGTTAAATTATTGTCCCCAGCCTCTGAGCTTCAAGTGGATAGCTGTAAGTTTGTGAAGGTTGTTGAGATTGGAAACTATTTTTTATTTTGTGTTTTGAAGATAATGATCTTCATAGTCCTATATTTGATTACATCATTTGGTATGTTAAGGCATACCTTGGGATTAATGTTAATGTTTCCTAAAGACAGTTTTCTCCTCTCTTTACAGCACTATGAGATGCTTGCTAATCGAACCGCTGCAAATGGTCACTGCATTGATATTTATGCTTGTGCCCTTGACCAAACTGGACTATTGGAGATGAAGTGTTGTACAAATCTTACTGGGTATGTTCATAGTGAACACCTGGAAAAAAGAGAATGTCTTTTTTTTTTCCCTTCAGTGCTGGGGATTGGACCCTGGGCCTTGCATATCTAGGGAAGTACTCTACCACTGAGCTACACTCCCATTTTATGATAGAATGGTGCCCTTCAGGAGTCCTTGACTTGGAGCACTCAGAGATGCTGTAATGTATTTGTGAACATCCTGTGGTTTGTATGCTAGGGTGTGTGTGTATAGTTTTTGTGGAGAGGTATCATTATTTCCATCAGTGTCTCATTGAGGTATTTGATTCCCACAAGATTCAACATTTAGGTCAAATTCCATGTTGGATAAATGTTTTAATGGTGACATAAAAAGATGTAGGGTTTTTGTTGAGTGCTCAAGGTGAGCCAACAGCTTGGGATGACTTCCTGCAAAGATGGGTTATCATAGGCTAGGTTATAGGAGTAGATTATCTTTGAAGAAAATCAAAATCTTGGTTTCTTTGGTGATGGTGACACCTTATACAGATTATGTCATTTTTCATTCTGAGCATTTATTTATTTATTTATACTGGGGATTGAGCCCAGGGTGCATAACCACTGAGCCATGTCCCCAGCCCTATCTATCTATCTATCTATCTATTTATTTATTTTGAGACATGGTCTTGCTTAGGAGCTTGCTAAGTTGCAAGCTTTAACTTTTGTGAGCTTTTCCTTTTAAACAAGCTTATATAGTGCTGGAGAATGCTTGAAATTGAGCTACACTCCCATTCCCATGTGGAGAATGGTTGAAGGAACTAGAAAAGACTAAGCTGAAGACAGATGGGATCTAGTTGCGTGCAGAGGCATATGTCACTGCAGTGGCTTGGGAGGCTGAGGAAGGAGGATTGCGAGTTGAAAGCCAACCTCAGCAAAAGTGAGGTGCTAAGCAACTCAGTAAGACCCTGTCTCTAAATAAAATACAAACTAGGGCTGAGGATGTGGCTCAGTGGTCAAGTGCCCCTGAGTTCAATCCCCAGTACCTAAAGAAAAAAAAAAAAAGAAGAGATGGGTATGAGAACTGTATTCAGTGTTGAAGAGTTGTTCTGTGGAGAAGAGATCAGAAGAATTAGGAACAATGGGTGAAGCTGCCGGGATATAGAATTTCACCCAGTATAAAGAAAGGTCTTGGGGCTGGGGTTGTGGCTCAGTGGTAGAGTGCTTGCCTAGCACATGTGAGACCCTGGGTTTGATCCTCAGCACCACATAAAAAAAAAAAAAAAAAAAATAAATGTATTCTGTCCAACTACAACTAAAAAATAAATATTTTTTTAAAAAAAGGTCTTCCTAGGTATGGTGGTTCCTGCTGTGTAATCCTAGCTACTTGGGAGGCTGCGGCAGGAAGATCGCAAGTTTGAGGTCAACCTGGGCAAGTTAGCAAGACCCAATCTCAAAATAAAAAGTAAAAAGAGTGAGAACTGTCCAGACATGGAGTGGACAGCTTCTGGAGGGAGTAAGAGATGTTCAGTCGTAACTTGGCAGGGATGTTGTCAAGGGGCAAGTGGGTGTGAGTTAGATTAGATTGTGTGATTATGACAGAAGACCCCAAAAAAAGTTCATTTCTGTCTGGTATACTGGTTTCATCATCATCAAGGCTGAGGCTCCCATCAAGCTATCTGCCTCAGTGTGCAGTGCGTGGCTTGGGGTATTTGCTGGAGTTCTACTACATTACAATAGCAGGGTGGAAAGGCCAAAGAAGGATATGCCCTTCTGGCAAGAACATGCCCCACTCGAACTAAAGGATTCTCCATCAAGTTAAAGTGAGTCATGTGACTACATGCAAGGTACACTAGGGAATGTCATCTTTATTTATTTTTTTTTAATGTTTATTTTTTAGTTGTAGTTGGACACAATACCTTTATTTTATTTATTTATTTTTATGTGGTGCTGAGAATCGAACCCAGAGCCTCACACATGCGAGGCAAGCATCTACCGCTGAGCCACAACCCCAGCCCTGGGAATGTCATCTTTATTCCAAGCAACTGTGGAATACATGATTAAGGAAGAAGGGAGGGTGGATATTTGGGGCCAAATTGTTGATCCCTCACTAAAGAGCTCAGACATTGAGAGAGCTGGACCAGGTAACCTTTCTTGTTTTCTTTCCAATTCTGGGATCCTGTTTTATAAATGACAACTTGTTGTGTAGCTGAAGCAGGCTGTGCTTCTTTTTTTTTTTTTTTTTTTTAATTTTTAATTTTTTATTGTGGGTTGTTCAAAACATTACAAATTTCTTGACATATCATATTCCACACTTTGATTCAAGTGGGTTATGAACTCCCACCTTCACCCCATACACAGCTTGCAGAATCACATCGGTTACACATCCATTGATTTACAAATTGCCATACTAGTGTCTGTTGTGCTCCGCTGCCTTTCCCATCCTCCACTCTCCCCCCTCCCCATCTCTCCCCTCCCCTCCCCTCCTCTCTCTCTACCTCCTCCACTGTATAACCCTGAGGGTCTCCTTCCATTACCATGCAATTTCCCTTCACTCTCCCTTTCCCTCCCACCTCTCATCCCTGTTAAATGTTAATCTTCTTCTCCTGCTCTTCATCCCTACTCTGTTCTTAGTTACTCTCCTTATATCAAAGAAGACATTTGGCATTTATTTTTTAGGGATTGGCTAGCTTCACTTAGCATAATCTGCTCTAATGCCATCCATTTCCCTGTAAATTCTATGATTTTGTCATTTTTTAATGCAGAGTAATACTCCATTGTGTATAGATGCCACATTTTTTTTATCCAGTTGTCTATTGAAGGGCATCTAGGTTGGTTCCACAGTCTTGCTATTGTGAATTGTGCTGCTATGAACATCGATGTAGCAGTGTCCCTGTAGCATGCTCTTTTTAGGTCTTTAGGGAATAGACCAAGAAGGGGAATAGCTGGGTCAAATGGTGGCTCCATTCCCAGCTTTCCAAGAAATCTCCATACTGCTTTCCAAATTGGCTGCACCAATCTGCAGTCCCACCAGCAATGTACAAGTGTACCCTTTTCCCCACATCCTCGCCAGCACTTGTTGTTGTTTGACTTCTTAATGGCTGCCAATCTTACTGGAGTGAGATGGTATCTTAGGGTGGTTTTGATTTGCATTTCTCTGACAGCTAGAGATGTTGAGCATTTTTTCATGTACTTGTTGATTGACTGTATGTCCTCCTCTGAGAAGTGTCTGTTCAGGTCCTTGGCCCATTTGTTGATTGGGTTGTTTGTTCTCTTATTGTCTAATTTTTTGAGTTCTTTGTATACTCTGGATATTAGGGCTCTATCTGAAGTGTGAGGAGTAAAGATTTGTTCCCAGGGTGTAGGCTCCCTGTTTACCTCTCTTATTGTTTCTTTTGCTGAGAAAAAACTTTTTAGTTTGAGTAAGTCCCATTTGTTGATTCTAGTTATTAACTTTTGTGCTATGGGTGTCCTATTGAGGAATTTGGAGCCCGACCCCACCGACTGTAGATCGTAGCCAACTTTTTTTTCTATCAGACGGCGCGTCTCTGATTTGATATCAAGCTCCTTGATCCATTTTGAATTCACTTTTGTGCATGGCGAGAGAAAGGGATTCAGTTTCATTTTGTTGCATATGGATTTCCAGTTTTCCCAGCACCATTTGTTGAAGATGCTATCCTTCCTCCATTGCATGTTTTTAGCCCCTTTATCAAATATAAGAAAGTTGTAGTTTTGTGGATTGGTTTCTGTGTCCTCTATTCTGTACCACAGGCTGTGCTTCTTGCTGAAAATTTGAACAATATTTTCTCTAACTTCAGTAAGGGATAAAAATCAGTATTCATCAATTAGAAAAAAATGTTCCTGTGAAGTCAAGGATTCAGTGTGTTGCAGCAGAGTTAATCTGAAAAGGTTTTTCCCCAGGCCTGGTTATTCTCCTATACTGAAAAAGTATGAGAAAAGTTGGACATGTTTTCTTGTTATAGAGAAAACCCAAGTCAAACTCAAGTCTCACCTACTATATGCACATAACACGGAGCATTGCAATGAACCTACAGTGTGTGTGGGTTTGTCCCCGTCAACAAGCAAGCAATGAGTTCTGCAGTGGACACCAGCTGGGGATCTCTAGTTCAATTCAGTCCTGACTCTTCCTATTTGGACACAATGTCATATCACACAAGACTGGCCCCTACCCACTTTAGAAGACACAAGCCCCAAGTTGTTTTATCCAGGCACATGAGTGACTGGCTGTAAATTTGGCTTCCCACAAACTCCTCCTTGGGTTCTATTAATTTGTTCAATCAGCTCACATAGAACTCAAGGAAACACATTTACCAGTTTCTTGTGAAGGGTATTATAAAGGATACAGGTGAAGGGGTGCATAAGGAGAGGTGTGAGGGAAGGGACATGAAGCTTCCATCCTCTCTGGTACACACTTTCTAGGAACCTGCATGTGTTTGGCTATCTGGAAACTATCTGAACCCTGTCCTTTTAGGTGGTTATGACAACTGTTACATAAGTATGATTGAAGTATGGCTAACCATGTAGAAATGTAATTGGGCAAAAAGAATATAATTTAATACTAGTTGTCTGGGGAAACCTAGGATAGCTTGTTCGTATTTTTCTTGGCCTTTCTGTGCACATTCCATTCTCCTGGGTAAGAGGTAGGCCTTTTGATTTATCAGACAAGATAGGTCATAGAATTTGTTTATGGCCAGTTCTAAGACAGAAAAGTTGGTGGTTAGAGTTTCTGGGATTTGCCTTGGGGAAGAGAAATTCTATTTATATAACTTGCATTGAGGAGGAAGTTAGGCTGGGAATCATGGACAAAAACCCAAGGTATCTATGTCGGTATATATACATAGATATCTCTATATGTCTGTAGTAGATAAATATACTTATGTATATATTTATCATAATATCATAATAATCTGTTTAAACTGCTAGGATTGTTGAATAAAGGATACTCTCTTTAAAAAAAAACTTTTTGTTTGAAATAATTATGGATTTACAGAAATTATAAATGTGCTGGGAGTACAGAGAGGTCTCTCCATACTCTTCATCTAGCTCTTCCCCGGGGCAGCATCTTACATAAACATAGTACAATGTCAGTACCAGGAAATGGACTTTGGCACAGTACAGTTAACTGTAGTGTAGACCTTATTTACCTGTACTTTTTTTTTTCTTTTGTATGTGAATAGGTATAATTCTAAGAGATTTTTCATCTCTATAGGTTTGTGTAATTGCTATAGTAATCAAGATATATTAGTATTCTTAAGGATTCTTAGTTTAATATTTTAGAAACTTTTTTCCCCCCTAAATACAAATTAAACTTGCTGTTCTTTATTTAAGTGAGTTAGTACCTTTACAGACGTGGGTATTTTTTTCTCCTTTGTAAACATCCAGGGAGCATCTGGATGGCTTTCAGTCTTACTAATGTTCACTTTTTTCTTTTTTCCTAGAGGCCACATGGTGATGGGAGATTCTTTCAACACTTCTCTCTTCAAGCAGACATTCCAAAGAATCTTTAGTAAAGATTTTAATGGAGATTTCAGAATGGCATTTGGTGCTAGTTTAGAAGTAAAGGTATGTATGATAGCCTTTTAAAATGTTAATGGAATTAGAGTGTTACTTTTTTTTTTTTTTTGGTACTAGGGATTGAACTCAGGTGTGCTCTACCCCTGAGCTACATCCCTAGCCCTATTTTATTTGTTTTTAAAATATTTATTTTTTAGTTGTTGTTGAACACAATACCTTTATTTTTTATTATTATTTTTTAATATTTATTTTTTAGTTGTAGTTAGACACAATATCTTTATTTCACTCATTTATTTATTTTTTTATGTGGTGCTGACGATTGAACCCAGGGTCTCGTGCATGCAAGATGAGTGCTCTACCGCTGAGCCACAACCCCAGCCCCAATACCTTTATTTTTTTTAATTTTTTTTCTGTGGTGCTAAGGATCGAACCCAGGGCCTCACACATGCTAGGCGAGTGCTCTACTGTTGAGCCACAACCCCAGCCCCTATTTATTTATTTTTTAAGAATTAAAAAAAATAGATTTTATTTATTTATTTATTTATTTATTTTTATGCGATTCTGAGGATTAAACCCAGTGCCTCACACATGCTTGACAAACACTCTATACTGAACCACAACCCCAGCCTCCTAGCCCTTCTTATTTTTTATTTTGAGATAGGATCTCACTAAGTTGTCCAGACTGGCCTTGAACTTGCAATCCTACTGCCTCAACTTCCCAAGTAGTTGGGAATATAGGCACATGTCACTGCACCCAGCTAGAATGTTGCTACTTGTTTAGTAGTCAGACTTCTGGCAATTTCAACTGGACACAGGCATATACAGGCCAATTAAAATAATCTCTACAAAATTTGCTGTCATCAGGCTGGGGTTGTGGCTCAGCGATAGAGCGTTTGCCTAGTGCAAGCGAGGCCCTGGGTTCCATGCTCAGCACCACATAAAAATAAATAAATAAAATAAAGGTATTTGTCAACTACAACTAAAGAATAAATATTAAAAAAAATTTGCTATCATAACATATATCATTCACCTATCTCTTTTCTCCTGGAGGAGGACCTATGTATTGGTTAGCATTCTAAACAATGAGTTTTTGGTTCCTCTGTAGGCCCTCCTTCACCTTGCTTTAGGACAGTTGAAATTGGGAGGTGGATAATGGGGTGAGTGTTTTAAGCAGCATTGTGACCTCAGCATAGCAGCCACACAGTAGTCACTGTCCACCCATCCATCAGTATGGGTTACTGCATTCCATAAGCAGTTTATATTAGTACTTGCCTGAAGAATTATCAGAGTGCTCTGAAACAGCCAGCACTGTGAGTTTTGGTTTGTTTTCCCACATAGGGACTCATCGCCAGAGACAGTTGACTCTGAGTCATTGAGGAAACAATAAAAAGGTCCATTAGAAACTATGGAGAGTTGGAGGTGATCATTAAATCATCTAGGTTAGCCTTTAAACAACATTCTCATGTGTTTGAGATTTTTTGTTGTTAAAGAGAAATGGGTGATTTTTTTGTTTTGTTTGTTTTTTTGGTATCAGGGATTGAACCCAAAGGCACTTTACCATTGAGCCATATCCCAGCCCTTTTTATATTTTATTTTGAGACAAATTTTACTAAGTTGTGGAGGCTGGCCTGGAATTTGTGATCCTCCTATACCAGCCTCCTGAGTTGCTAGGATTACTGATATGAGCCACCACACCCAGCAGAAATGGATGTTTTTGAAATGAGTTCAGCTAAAAAAATCTAAGCAAGTTGGCCTTGTGTGGGCTTCATGAATTAAGTATTTTTAAAGCAACACAAAACAGTATGTTCACTGGTTAGAAATACATAAATATCAGACATAGCTTTCCTATGTTCATATATGAATACATGACCAGTGAAACTCTTATAAAACCACTCATATCATATCATATAAAACCACAAGAATGGTATCCTAATTAGAATGTTATACTCCATGTATATATATGTCAAAATATACTCTACTGTCATATATATCTAAAAAGAACAAATTTTAAAAGTTAGAAAATAAAAATAAAACATGCACACACCAAAAAATATGTAAATAATTGTGACCATATATGGGATTGGAAAAGAATGTAGTTTGTTGGTAGAATTGTTATCTTCTAGGTATATAATTTTAAAGTTTGAAAAGTGAACTGAGAGAGTTGAAAATGCTGTATCATCTTCATGCAGCACCTACAGGCAGATTTTTTTTTAATTTTAATTAATTCAAGTGGCCCTGGAAAAGTTAGTAGGGGAGCAGTTGGATACTTTAATCCATGTGGGATTTTCTTTTGGTGGAATGACATTGCTATATTTGCCTGTTGTGAGAGCAGGATGGATCTTAGTGATTTTAACATTTATTCTGTTGTGAATTTATTTTAGACATCTCGGGAACTGAAGATTGCTGGTGCCATTGGTCCATGTGTATCTCTGAATGTGAAAGGACCGTGTGTGTCAGAAAATGTAAGGAAACTCCTCCATCACCCTCATCTGCCCTGGAGATAACTCATTAGATGAGTCTGAGCACAATGGTCTTGTATTGTCACCTATGGTGGGGGGAAAAGGGCTAACCCTCATTGATGGCAACTCTGAGAGATGGTGTTAGAGAGAAAGAAACTGACAGGTCACAGAGGTTAGAGTCTTGCTCAGAATTAGAGCTGACATGTAGAAGCTAGATCCCAGGTCCCCCTGACTCCATAACCCATGCATGAGTGACTGTTGAGGAGCCACAGGCTTCCCCTACAGTACAAGGCAACCATTCAGCAGAATCCTTCAGGGATTCTATATGCTTGCTGTCCTTAGAGTTGATATCTTTGCTTCACTCTCAGCTAATAATGGGCCTTCCTACAACAGAGACTGCCATGAATTGGTTAGGCAGCAGATGATACTGTTACATATACAGACATTATTTTGTCTAGTAATAATTTGTGAGTGTATGTAAACCAATTCAGTCATCACTTGAGAGAGTGGCTTTGCTGATGACCCACATCCTCTTATTATATATACTTCAGCTACCAAAAAGCAAAGCTTTTGGTCTGATGCAGCATGGTCCCAGGTGAGGATGACATAGTCATGTCCTTCCCTCATGGTCATCTTTAATGGGAGGGTGGACTGTAGAGCCAGTTGAGTTCAGGGCATCACTACCTCTCAGTAATTGTGTAGCCCTGGCAAAATACTCAGTTGCTCTGTAATTCAATATCTTTATCTGGCAAATGGGACAATAACAATGCCTACCTCACAGCCTTGTTAGGAGGAATAAATAAGGTAGATCAGGTAAAGCAGTTGGGACAGAGCCTGACATACTGGAGGCCTACTTGAGATGTTCTGTTTCACAGTATCATCTTTGTCTTCATCAGAACAAACATTCACAAGTTACTACACAGATTAAACTTTTGTCAAGCTTGGCAGAGGAAAGACAGTTTGAGTGAACATTCCTGTAGTTCCCTGGGTGGGGCAGATTGCTGCCCAAAAGCCCATCTGAAGAGTTACTCATTAACCCCGAGTGCCAAAGGACTTGTATTCCTATTTTCTGGCAGGGCTTTGGAAAGGCTGCCTATACCAGAGTATTTTCCATAGACTTAAAATATGACTGGCGAAGTCTTTGAGAAGTAGGTTAAGAAGACATTTTTATGAAGTAGTACAATTAGCTGTTCCAATAGAGTTCAGCCCTGAAAGTTTTGATTGGCGGTGCAGATACAAAGAAAAAGATCTAATTTTCAAGCATACAGAGAAGTTTTAAGGAAGAATTTCTGTTCAGCATTGTCAGTTGTTAACAGTTTGCCATAATTTTGCTGTGTCCTCTTTTCTTGCCACATTTGCCTTATCTTTTTGATTAGCGTTTCCTTGACATAGTAGCTTCACCAACCTTTTTTTTTTTTTTTTTTTTTTTTAAATAACATTGGGGATTAAACCTAGGGACACTCTATCCTTGTGCTACACATCTACCCCTTTTAAAAAGTTTTTATTTTGAGGCAGAGTTTTGCTAAGTTTCTGAGGCTGGCCTCAAATTTGGGATTGTTTTTTTCTGAGCCTCCTCAATTGTGGGATTACAGGCATGCACCACTGTGCCCAGCTATACTTAGTGTTTAAAAAAATCTAGAATAGTCTTCATCTTTTTGTTCATTTGTGTATATTCTTTGCCTTTTTTTTTTTTTTAAAACATGAGATTGATTTATTGAAGTGATAGTGCCGGGGTCTTCTCTAATAGGATGTCTCACATTCTTGATATGTCTGATGGTTTCCTTGAAGGAGTAAGTATCTGTGTTGTTTCTTTTCTCTGTATTTCTTGAGAAGCAAAAGTTTTTAAAGGTGTGATTAAATTCAGTTTGCAAACAGCTTAATGGTTTTAGCTGTTGATTATCTTCACTTGAATCAAATTATTTCACTAGAAATTATAAAATGATGGTTTTCTAATTCTATTTTTGTACTTTTTCCAATAAAGTCATTTAAATGCTTAAGTAAGGCATTTGTATTTTAGAGAGAAATTGTTATTCTGGGGCACTGGAGAGTTGTACCATTGCTGAGTCCTGTGCCTAGAGAAGGAGCTAGTGAAGAAAGAAGGGAAGACCCATAAGCTCCTTCTTGGCCATTTTTGCTGGGTTTTGCCCTTCACCTTCCAGTGGATGTGAAATCCCTGCTTCTTTTAGAGAATACCTTTAAAGTGGAAGCTGAACACCCAAAATCTGTCCATCTCACAGTCTTGCATAAGAGGTGCTGACAAAACAGAGTGCCCTCCCTGCTCTCTATCTTAGAACTGCTGTGCAATTTCACTTAAGAATCTTTCCTCTCCACTCAAACTGTCACCTCCCTGAAATCGCTGGTTCTGTGGCCAGGTATGGAGGGCCCTGGCATGGCTCCACACCAGACAGATGTCAGTTGTACACTCAGCTGACAGTGTGCAGTGTGGGTGGAGTCGAGTAACATAGATGACTCTATTAATGTCTAAGCATGGTACTTTCTAAGCACAGCATTCTGCATCCAGATAAGGTGTGGTGCCAGCTCCTCTATGATGATAGAATGTATATTTCAGGGTCTGGTAATTTCATTTGATGTTTCTAGGTGTTTTTTTATATTTGTGTTGTTTTCTTGTAGATATTTTTATTAAAACAATGTCAAATTCATGTTTAAGTGAACCTCATATTTATCACCGGCAGCCATTCAACGAATCAGTAAAAAGCAGCCTTCACACCATTATGATTTCCTTTGTTTCCTCACTGACAATTTATATATAGCTTTTGCCAAAAAAAAAAAAAGTATTTTACAGCTAAAGTTCTGCCACTAATATTGATGGTTGTCAGAAGTATATAGAACTGTCAAAAAAAGCCAGGTGCAGTGGTGCAATCCTGTAATTTCAGCTGCTTGGAAGACTAAGGTGGAAGGATCATGAGTTTACTAAAGTGAGGTGCTAAGCAACTCAGTGAGACCCTGTCTCTAAAAAAATGCAAAATAAGGCTGGGGATGTGGTAGAGTGGTCAAGTGCCCCTGAGTTCAATCCCTGGTACCAAAAAAAAAAAAAAAAAAAAAAAATTGTTTTTTTTTTTCAAAAATAAGTAGATAATTCTAATATATGTGATGTAATGAAATTGTTTAGAGTGCCAATCTAAAAATCTTAAAAGCTTTAAAAATTTTAAAGTGCTTTGAAAATAAATGTTAAGGATTTTTCTGGTCTATAATATAAATTTTTACCTCAGAGTTCATGTTCTAAGTGTCCTGATCTGTTCATCAGCATTTTTCTTTAACAGTTAACCATAGAGTTGGGTTTTTGTGTTTTAAATTCTTCTCATCTGTAGGAGCTTGGTGTTGGTGGCACGAGTCAGTGGAAAATCTGTGGTCTGGATCCTACATCTACGCTTGGCATCTACTTTGAAGTTGTCAATCAGGTGGGTTGGATACAAGCCACTATTCCTTGATTACTTTCTCCATAAACAAGTACTGCCTTTATATTGTTTTAGGCCTGATGCTAGTATGGTATAATCTTTTAATTTTCTATCCAGGGCTTAGTCAGATTCAGACAGCAAGTTAATTTTATCACTCTATTGTTGAACTGATAGGTCATTTTACCAGCCATTACTCTTCATTGTAATGTTAGAGAATTTCTCCAATATTTTATTAAGAAAAATTGCAAACATGGAGAAATTGAAAAAAAATTTATAGTGAATACCCACATATCTACCAGGTAGATCTGTAATTAAGATTTTACTATAGTTGCTTTGTTGTATGTATATCTATCTTATTTTTTATGCATTTCAGAGCAACTTACAATCATAGTTGTATCTCTTCCTAAACATTTCAGCATATATATTGATAACTGGGATTCAATTTTGTTTTGTTTTTTCCCCCAGTGCTGGGAATTGAACCCAAGGCCTTGCATGCATGCTAAACATGTGCTCTACCCCTAAGCTATAGCCCCAGACCAAGGAGTAATGAATGTGGTTCTTCTTCTTTTTTTTTTTGAGGTAAAAGTTATGTACAGTGAAATGAATGTGCAGGTCCAAAATGTACTATTTAGAATGCATCAAGATCCTCACCATGTTAGCTGTCAATTGTAGAGGAGCACAGTGGACCCTGACTGAGTCATGCCTATGACAGTAACCAAGTGTGTGGCCTCTCAACTTGCAGCACAATGCCCCGATCCCCCAAGGAGGCAGAGGTGCCATCCAGTTTGTCACGCAGTATCAGCACTCCAGTACCCAGAAGCGCATCCGTGTGACCACCATTGCCCGAAAGTGAGCCACCCTGTTTTTTTTCTGTTGAATCACTGGTTAATGGTTTTTCTGTGAATAGATAGTTTAGCATTTATGAGTTTTTCTTTCTGATTCCATTGAATGGTTCAGAAGAAGAGGATTCATTCTTGGCTAGCCCTTTTGGGTCTTTGAGCACTTGCCTAGGGTAATCAGTTTTCAGTAAGAATGTAGTTCATTGGAAATTATCTAATATGATTTTGTTTATTAGCTAAGTCATAAATACATACTTCTTATTAAAGATTTAAGCAGAATATAAGTGTATTTATGTGGTTCCATATCCATAGATTCAGCCAACCTCAATGGGAAATATTTTTAAAAAATCTGTACTGAACATGTACAGACTTTTTTCTTATCATTCCCTAAACAATGCAGTATCAACAACTATTTACATACCATTTTTATTGTGTTACATATTATAAGTAATCTAAAAATGATTTAAAGTATGCCAGGCACGGTGGCACATGCTTATAATCCCAGTGTCTTGAGAGGCTGAGGCAGGAGGACCACAAGTTCAAAGGCCAGCCTCAGCAACTTAGCAAGACCCTAAGCAAGTTGCAAACCTATCTCAAAATAAAAAATAAAAGGGCTGGAGATGTGGCTCAGTGGTTAAGCACCTCTGGGTTCAATCCCTGGTAGTAATAGTAGTAGTAATAATAGTAGTAGTAATAATACTAATAATAAATGGAAGAATGTACATAAATTATTGCAATTTTATATAAGAAACTTGAGCATCCATGAATTTTGATAAATGAGGGGGAGCTTAGTACCATTCTCCAATGGATCCAAGAGATGACTATATGTTTGTGGGTCTTTCCACTTATTTTCCCCAGAGGTGCTGTTACTGGTTTAACTTCACAATCCCATTTCTGTGAAATTATATATCATATATGTTTGTATGTATTTGCAGGCCTATCTCTGACTTATTTTAATGGTTACATGGTTTGGATAGGATACATCACTCCTCAATTTTTTTTTTCAGGAGTGGGTACCAGGGATTGAACTCAGGGGCACTCGACCACTGAGCCACATCCCCAATCCTATGTTATATTTTATTTAGAGATAGGGTCTCACTGAGTTGCTTTAGCGCCTTACTTTTGCTGAGGCTGGCTTTGAACTCGTGATCCTTCTGCCTTAGCACCCTGAGCTGCTGGGATTATTAGTGTACGCCACCATGAGTTGGGTGCTCATCATTCCTCTATTAAAAAGACATTTCAAGTCCTGCCTTCTCACAGTGATGCATTTATATTTTTAGGTCTTTGCACACACAGGTATTTCTTTCCAGCCCTTCAGACAATAAAATTTTGGATATTTCAGAACTATTCTCTTAAGTGGCCAATTTGTGTTCTCCCCAGTAGTCTAAGAAGAATGCCCTGTTGCCTCATTTATAATGGATATTATCAATTTTAAAAAATATGTAATTTTAGTTGTAGATAGAAACAGTTTATTTTATTTTTTTATTTTTTTATGTGGTGCTGCGGATCGAACCCAGTGCCTCATGTGTACTAGGCAGGTGCTCTACCACTGAGCCACAACCCCAGCCCCGATATTACTATTTTTAAAAATATTTTTCAGTTGTTGGACACAATATCTTTATTTTTATTTATTTATTTATCTAATGTAGTGCTAAGGATTGAATCCAGGGTCTCATGCATGAAAGACAAGCACTCTACCACTGAGCTACAACCCCAGCCTGATATTACCAATTTTTAACATGCAAATATAAAGCAATAACCTACTTTCTTCCCCCACCCCATTATCAATGAGTTAAATGCTTCTTTTTTCTATAATTTTTCTTTTGATTTATAGCCTTCAGAGGTCACATGAAGGTTATTGAGAATATGTTAAACTCCAGTGATATCTTAGTGAAAGTGCAGTTCAAATCTCTGTTGTCTTAGATGAAGATACAGGATCGTGTTTATCCAAATGGAGATCTGACCTTCTGATCATTCCTGAATGTATGTGTGGCACTAACTCTGAAATTGTCAGTTGGGCAGATGCACAGAGTCAGCTCAGGCACATAGAAGCTGCATTTGACCAGGAGGCTGCAGCAGTTTTGATGGCACGGCTTGGAGTGTTCCGGGCAGAATCAGAGGAGGGGCCCGATGTGCTCCGATGGTTGGACCGACAACTCATCCGACTGGTAAAGTGGGAATAATGGCATTAGATTCAGTCTTTTTCTCTGCTCCACTTTTGAGAAAATTGTCTTTTAACCCTATTATTTTATATAATTAATCAGCAAGAATTTATCAGTTACTTACTTTATGCCAAACACTTGATTATTTTGAGATTGATATGAAAGAAGTATTCACTGCACATTTCTCCCTCAAGACTGACACTGTAGTGGGACGAAACAACATGCACAGAACATTTGGAGAGTGATGCAAATCTGTGCATGTTAAGAGTTGAATTAGATAAGTCATTTTGTGAATGTTATGGTCCTGTATTTTCCAGATCTGGAAGGCGGTTTTTGGAAACAGGGACCTAAGCACACTGGGTTTAGGGAAATGCCTCATGTTGTTAGTCTGGGTCTAAGAGGAGGGAGATCACACAATAATAAAGGGAAGGTTTTATATGAAGAATTATTAAAACAGGGGAGTATGTTAAGGAGAGGTTAGCTACTAAGAAGCAAAGAGAACTGGCAAATATAAGGCACAGACATGACTTCTAGTGCTGAGGTAGAGCACCCTCTCCCCCGCCAAGGCTGGTCCAGATTGTGGCTGTGGTTCAATGACTCTTTTATAGCAGAGAACTTGCCATGGTGCTGTGTCAGAGGGACTTGCTAGAAACAGTCTAGAATTTGACAAAATTTATCATCCGGGTACTAGAGAAGGCTATTCACAGAGAAGTATCTCAGCAGAGGTACATGGGATGCTGGAGTATCTACTGGCTATGTGTACTCTAGGATCTCAGCACTGGAAAGGCCACAGAGATATAGGGATCTGGTGCTAAGGCAGCTGCCACATGACCACACTGGTACTCAGCAAGTAACACTTTGACTCCTCATCCTCTTCTGGCAAAGCTGATGAACATCATGCCAACTGGCAAAGTAGTTAAAGGGCCCATATTCATTTCACAGCAGGCAGAAGGAGTAAATTTGGAGCCACAAGGCAGTTAATTGATAATTGGCCTACTACATATTCTTACTTTCTCAGAGATTCACAGCATATATTTGTGATTTAAAGCTTAGGGAAGAAACCTATTTAATTTTGTTTAGTCCTCTATTCGCCCTTGCCATCTCATGGAATCATTTATCAGGGAGTATTAATACTTCAAACAAAACTTGAAAATTGTTCCTCTAGATTTCAAAGGGAGGATAGATGATCAGACAGCCCAAGGGGTTGGCAAAGGCTACATGTGGGAATTGAGCCTTGAATCAAATCTTTTTATAAAGAGTAGGATAATAGGAGAGAAGGCAAGACATGGCAGGTGGATCCAGTCTGTGGGAGGTAGCTGTACCTTTCAGCTTATGCTGGAGACATTGGAGAAACCACCGTCAAAGGAGGGTGAAGGTACACCGTGACTGCAGAAAACCAAGAACTAACCTCTGAGCAGTCCATTGTTAGGAGGAGAAAGAAACAAGGAGCCTATAAAGAAGACAGGGAAGACTTGTTGGAGAAACATAGGAAAGTGGTATTTTAGCAACTGAAAGAATATTTCAAGAAGTTTGGGAAACTGACTTATATCAGCTCAAGAAGATCAGAATTATGAGAAGACATGAAACTTATTAGAAAGAAGGTAATTGTTAGAGAAGGGGACAGCCTAGTTCTCTAGTGGCTGAGTTCCACCTAGTTCTCCTAGGCTGGTGGACAGCCTAGTTCTCTAGTGGCTGAGGAAGTATGTGATCAGAAATTAAGCCAGGAAGAGTAAACAATGTGGTTTTGAAACCTGTCATTGAAAGAAGGGAAAACTGAATTGTAGTATGAGAGAATGCCAGGGTGTGTCTGTAATTGCTGGTTTATAGTCTTCAGGGTTTTCACATGGAACAGGCACCTGAGAGAGCTCTTCTAGCCCCTTGGTGGTCAGATGCACCTTGGGCCAGCATTACTTGAGAGCTGGCTAGGCATTACAGAATCTCTAGCTCCTCCTGAAAAGAGCATTTTAACAAGAGCTCTGGTGATTTCTCTGCTCTTACTCTGAGAAGTGCTGGTCTAGAACACAAGAAAATGGCAGACGTAAGGTTGTAACATAGCTTATAGTATTGAAATTTTTTTTCAGGTGACACTAAGATTTTTCTCTTTTCTTTTTTTCTTTTTAAATTTTCTTTCTCTAGTGTCAGAAGTTTGGACAGTATAACAAAGAAGACCCCACTTCTTTTAGGTTATCAGATTCCTTTTCTCTATATCCTCAGGTAAGAAATATATATTTTTAGGGGATGGGGATGGAGCACAACGATAGAGCACTTTTCTGGCATGCACAGGGCCCTAGATTCCATCCCCAGCATTGCAAAAGAAAAAGAAAAAATAAATAAAAAATAATTCTAGAACAAAAAGTTATGATTGAAATAAATCTGTCATTGGGGTAAAGTGAAGACTTTTTATGTTTTGAGACTCAACTGTAGTAATAAAGGTTATTCTACTTTTATGAACCCTTTTCCTATCTATAAATGAGGAAATAGAACTTGTGCAGTGGGTGACTATGGGGTAGGGGTGACATGAACTGAGGCCAGTCAGGTATTAAATATCTAGCATGGTGTCAGGCACCTACAGCACTTTATAAATGTGAGCCTGCTGGCAGTGGGGAGCTTGGGACTTTCAGGAGCCTATGTCTGGAATGGCTGAGGCCTTGAGGTATTGTGGGAAGAGTCCTGGACAGGCCAGTCAGGGTGGAACTCTAACACTGGCCCTGCTGCTGCTGATCTTCGTTGAAATCAGAAACCACTGTGGGTTTTTGTTTCCTCATCTTTAGAAGGGAGGAGGTAATCTGGAGAACTGGTTTGCAATCTCTTTAAAGCCCGAGGACTTTCCCTCAAAGGCCAGTGTGTAAAGCAGACAGACTGGTGCTGCTCTGTCCTCATGTACCACCCACCGGCTGAGTCACATCAGAGCCTCTGACCCCAAAGCCCCAAAGATTCACTAAAAATCTGAAGAGCACAGTTTAGAAACCAGCAGTTCAGATGGTTTCTAAGATTCCTTATGTCAAGGCATTCTAGGATAGGGGTTGGTTGAGAGTCTAGTCTCTGGAGCCAAGTGACCTGGGTTATAGTCCAGCTCTGCCACTCAGATGTGAGGTGACATTGGGCAACTTGCTTACCCCTCTGTACCTCAGTTTCCTTACCTATAAACTAAGGATGGCAAGAGAACCCACATGGGCTTATTGGAAGGACTAAGTCATTCTTGGGGCTGGAGTTGTAGCTCAACAGTAGAGTGCTTGCCTCGTATGTGTGAGGTACCAGGTTTAATTCCCAACACCACATATAAGTAAGCAAATAAAATAAAGGTCCATCAACAACTAAAAAAAAATTTTTTTTTTAAACCATTTCTTTAAAAAAAAATAATTCTTTTCAAGTCCTTTGTGCCTGGTACATAAGATGCCTTAAATGTCAGCCAACATTATTTAGGAACCTATGGCTTAGCATATGGTGAGTTAGAAACTTAATACTTCTAAAGGCAGCTCCTTTTCATGTTCTAGCAACTCTTCAGAGTGAGCTAACCATCTGCTGTGCTCTCTCTAATTCTTAGGATAAAGAACATACATTTCCAATGTCATCTCTTGTGCCCTTCTCCCCTGTACTTAACCTCACTCCAACTAACCAGTCTATCCTGAGCTCTCATCTACCATTCCTGTACATGGACTCCCCTTCTCCATCCCTCCTCATACCCGACTCTGGTCTCCTCATGCGTGTCTTGCAAGGTATATCCTCAGGCCTTATAGCTTTGGGAAGTCTCTTGCTGGACTCCCTTCCCCAAGCCCATTTTCTTGTACCCTGGCTCATAATTCAAAAGCTCCATTTGTGTCTTCCTCACTGGATTTAATTTCTTTGAGAGAAAATTACATCACAACCCAGGAACTCTGGGAAAAAAACGATGCTTTGCTCTCCCATTTTATATGGAAGCTTTGAAATATCCAGAAATGCTTAAAAAAAAGGGGTGGGGAAGAACAAGACAATAAACTTCCTTGCCGGGCCTGATGGTACACATCCGTAGTCCCAGTGGTGTGGGAGGTTGAGGCAGGAGGATCACAAATTTGAAGCCAGCCTCAGCAATTTATCAAGGCCCTCAGCAATTTAGTGAGACCCTGTCTCAAAATAAAAAGGGCTGGAAATATGGCTCAGTGGTTAAAAGGCCCTGAGTTTAATCTCTGGTACCAAACATAAATAAACAAATAAATGAAATTTTCTAACTGGGGGCAGTGGTGCACACCTATAATCCCAAGTGGCTCAGGAGGCTGAGGCAGGAGGATCACACGTTCAAAGCCAGCCTCAGCAACTTAGTGAGATCATCTGGAGATAAAAAATAAAAAGGGCTGGGGATATGGCTCTATGATTAAGTGCCCAAAGGGTTTAATACCTAGTACCAAAACAAAACAAACAACAACAACAAAAAACCTTTCTTAAAAATTTTTAATCATGGTAAAAAACACATAACAGAATGTACCCTCTTATGTTTTAAGAGTACAATGTGTAATATTAAGTACCTTAACATTGTTGTGCAGCAGATCTCTAGAATTTCTCATCTTGAAAAACTAAAACTCTACACCTGTTAAACAACTCCTCCTTTCCCTTTCCCTTATCCCCTGGTGTCACCTGCTTCTTTCTTTGTGAACCCAGAGGCCTTCTATTTGAATCTGGGTTCTCCTGTTTCACAAACCTTAGGTGGATCCACTTTGTGTATCCAAGGTTATAACTATGTACATTCGACTTTTTTTTTCCTTGGTAAATGCAGTTCATGTTCCATCTTAGAAGATCTCCATTTCTTCAAGTGTTTAACAACAGTCCTGATGAGTCATCCTACTATAGACACCACTTTGCCAGGCAGGATCTGACCCAGTCCCTCATCATGATCCAGCCCATTCTCTACTCCTACTCATTCCACGGGCCACCAGAGGTAAGGCTGGATGTGCAAGCTCTTCTTTATTTTTAGTGTAACGAAAGTATTTTTAAATTAAAATAAAAATCATAATAAAAATATTTTGTAGTAAACTTTGTAAGACTGTATAAAATGCTGTTTTTCATGTAGGCAACTCCATTTCCATCTCAACTACAGCTCAAATAGATTTGAGAGAAACATTGGATTCATTAAATAGATTTCTAGCACAAAACTGAGAAAGTTTAAAATGATTTCTGGTTTCTAGATCTCAAGATATCACTAAATTCTCTTCCCAATTGATAAAGGATTGTTTGGATCCTCTCTCTCTGTGAAGTTGAGACTTACAACCACCGAGTTAGAAACCAGAAAGTGGTGGAAAACATTTGTAAACAGCTTTCTTCACTGTTCAGCAAAGCTCTGGGTGTGGGATTAGAGTGGTTGCCATGTAGGGAAGAAGGAAGACCAATAACATATCTCCTTTTTTCCTTAGCCAGTTCTCTTGGATAGCAGCAGCATTCTGGCGGACAGAATTTTGCTGATGGATACTTTCTTCCAAATTGTCATTTATCTTGGTGAGGTAAGATGGTATTATTAGTTTCTTTCCTGACTTATTTTCGTTTTCTTGCTATTTATTTGGGGTTTTTTTTTTTTTTTTAATGGCATTTGAAACAAGAATTTGAGCTTAGAGCCTAGTGTAGTGGCACATGCCTGTAATATCAGTGACTTGGGAAGCTAAAGCAGGAGGATTGCAAGTTTGAGGTCAGCTTCAGCAACTTGGGGAGGACCTGTCTCAAAATAAAAAGGTTTGGGGATGTAGCTCATTGGTAAAGCACTCTTGTGTTTAATCTCTAGAAAGTGGCACCCCTTCCACTGCCACCTCCCCTCACCACACAAAATTGGTCTTAGAAAACACACAATTTAATATAATGAATATCATGACTTTATTCTAAATGAGACAAAATCTTTTTTCAGGTATGTGGGATACTTGTACATTTTGTGTGTTTAATATATTTGTTAGTAAATCTCAGGTATCTTTTAAATCACTGTAATTGATTACTTTGTGAAGTAAATTTTAGGCAAGACCAGTTTATTCTTTAGTAAACTTTTTATGCAAACTACTGTCCTTTCAGTGTTATATTAGAGTTATGTTTGGGGCTATACTTTTTCTTGGATGAAATAACATAAAAAAACATTACTCTGGATCTATGGATCCTTTAATTGGCTGTGTATGGCTTCCAGGGCAGTATCCATTTCTTAAAGCTTCAAGAGAAAGAAGTGGATTCCCAAGGGGAATGGTTCTTCTGAATTATTTATATCTTTATGGGAGAAAAATCCTTTTATTGAGTATCATATTCAGTAATGATGAATTTTCTCTTGTTCATTATTTACATTCAGTAAATTGCTTAGGCACTTGATTTGACTTCCTAGAGTCTCAATATTAGAAGTGATTTTGAATGTCTTGAGAAGATAATGTTTTAGAATTAACCTAGGAAATATTAGTTTTCTAATACTAGTCAATATTTTTTATCTTGAAATTTTTTTCAGCATGTTAACACCCACTCTGCCTGCCACTTGATCAGCTAACTGCTGTTACTAACAGTATAACCTCATTTGGCTTCAGCTCACCCCTTATAGATATTTAATGCAGTCCCCAGTCTTATTTATTCATATATTTGTTAAGCACCTTCTGTGTTCAAGTTAGGGCTTCTAAAGACAAAATCAATAATATTGTTTTTGTTCTCCCAAATCCCTAAGTCTACTGGTTTTGGGGGTTCTTATGAACTCTTGGACCCAAGTGAGCTTGTAGGCATTTCTTCCAGGTCACCAGTCAGTAAAAAAAATTAAGACTTGGGGAATGGTAATTGACAATTTTGAGAAGACCAGGAGAGCAGGCTGTGAAAGGAGCCATCTAAAGAGGGTCCTCTGGTGTCATATTTATAGTTCTGTTGCTAAAACTCATTGAACACTTGCTATATCTTTTCTCTTTTCCTCTCCATTTTTTTCTTTCTTTGTATCCCTAAAATAACAGGAGAAAGAACTCCAATTTACCTATAAGATACACAGATTAGTTAAGTATTTCTTGGGTTGGCTGTAGCTCAGTGGCAGAGCGCTTACCTAGCATGTGTAAAGCACTGGGTTTGATTCTTGGCATCACTTAAAAATAAAATGAAATAAAGGCATGCGGTACATGTGTAACTACAAAAAAGTTTAAATAAAAATAATAATAAGTATTTCTTGATTTCCTGTATATATAAGATATTTCTGAGGACTACAGAAAAGGGAATAAAGTACAAAGTATTTAGCTCCATAGGGAGACAAATAACCTATATTTTCCATAGTTTATTATATTGCCTTCTCTTCATTGCCTAATTAACACTGATACTTTCTTACAGCTTTTATCCCCCTGCCAAGAGTCTCCCAACTCAGGGCCCAGGAGGAGCAAGGGATGGGGATGGGTGAGACCCACCCAATCTATATGACAGAGGAAGGGTATAATGTGTGTATGCTGTTAGGAAAAGAGATGGGGACACAGATTCTTTGTAGGCAGCCAGCCTATGAAGAATGAAGAAATTACTGTTTAGACTGGGCTTTGTTAACTAGTTAGTTAGAAAGGAAAGACGAGGTGTAACTGGTGACTGGGAGAACTACATAGGTGGTGCCTTGTATGCACCCTGTTTACCAGCTCCTATTTCTCCTCCTCCTAGCCAGCTCTGCTTTACTTCCCTCAGAAACTTCTCATTTTTAACTCAAGACTTCACTGGGAACATGTTCTGGATGGTGGGAGTGGTAGCATGTCTGAACATTGATCAGGGCTGACATTATAATGTTTTCATACAGTTTTTGTTGTTTGTTTGCTTTTTTGTTTTTTAACATAGACCATAGCCCAGTGGCAGAAAGCTGGCTACCAAGACATGCCTGAGTACGAAAATTTCAAGCACCTTTTGCAGGCACCATTGGATGATGCTCAAGAAATTCTGCAAGCCCGCTTCCCAATGCCACGTTACATCAACACGGAGCATGGTGGTAGTCAAGTGAGTGAACCGAGTTTTAGCTCTAACGATCTGTCAGTTTTATGATCTGTTTTTATGGCTATAAAACCAGACACGGCTCTCCCTTTCCCTAGTCTCAGGGGAAATAGGATTACAATTCTTCCCCATTTTAGGCAGATTTAGCTGTCCTTGAGTACACACCTGCCATAGGAATTAAGTAATCCAGACTTTGGGGCTAGTACCAGAAGATCTCAGAAATGACTATCTCCCAAATTAACAAGTGAGTTACAACTCCAACAGAGAACATGTGGGATGTAGCCTTTGAATCACCTCTTTAAAAGCCCCCTGTTCCTGCTGGTGGGCAGAATCACAGCCTTTGGGCAGCAGTCCCCAGTGTTTCTCTTTGCTAGAAAAGCAATAAAACTTTCTTTTTCCTCAAAAACAAAAACAATAACAACAACAAAATAGTAATACTATTTTATGTGGTGACATAAATTGACATACAGGTAATCTTCCAACTATGACTACTTTTTAAAGGTATGTGCTGATATCAAAAGCATAGGATTACCAGTGTTTTTAGGATCCTTCATGAGTGGGGAACCATTGGGCTTAAGCTAAACAAATAGGTTCTCATACAATAAAAAATGTCTAATTTAACCAAAAAAATATTGAAAAAAATTTATCTTACTTTTTTCTATTACACTAATATTAATGTTACTTTTAAAAAAATCTTTAAATGGTATTTTTTGTTTGTTTTCATAGGCTCGATTTCTTCTGTCCAAAGTGAACCCTTCTCAGACACACAATAACCTATATGCTTGGGGACAGGTAAGAAATTGTCAGGTGTTTGTGGAATAGACCATGCTCCTTCTTAAAAACCATGTTTTAAAGTCAGAAAAATTCGCATCCTTTTATTTCAGAGACAGAATAACTTGGGTATTTTGCTAAGGGAAAAAACAAAGAAACCCTCAATTGATATAGTTGTGATGGGAGTGGGGAGCTGCCTATGTGGGTCTCCTTCCATAGTCCACAGTGTCCATGTGTCAGGGTCATCCAGGGCCAGAACACAGCACTGTGGCTCCAGCTGGCTTTCCCCATACACATGGCAGTCCTCTCCCAAAACCACAGGGCAACTCCTGCTCACCATTGGTTGGTTCTGCCTTCTCTTCACTTTTCATCCCTCTTCCTCCTTTGTCTAGTTTTCCCAGCATTTGTCTCTCACATATGACTTCTAAAATTCTATTTTCTTATAACCTTTTTAAAACTTATTTTTGATATAACTGTAAATTTATATGCAGTTGTAAAAAAAAAATACAGAGAGCTTCCATATACCTTTACTCATTTTTTCTCTGATGGTAAAATCCTGCAAACCAGTAATTCAGTGTCAGAGTAGGATATCAATACAGTCAAGATGTAAATTTCCATCACCACAGGATCTGTCATAACTGCCTTTTTATAGTCACACTCATTTCCCTCCTGCTTCCGTCTCTTCTTTAACACCTGGCAACTGCTAACCTGTTCACCATTTCTATAATTTTGTCACCAACAATGTTAAAAATATGAAGTCACGCAGCATGTAACCTTTTGAATTGGCTTTTTTCCCTAGCATAATTATCTAGAGGTTCATCCAAGTTGTTACATGTAACAGTTTGTTCCTTTTTACCTGCCAAATTTTAATTCACAGTAAGTATGAATGTGTCCCAGTTTATTTAGTCTTCATTCATGAAGGGCAGCTGCTAACACAGGTTTTTTTTGTTTTGTTTTGTTTTGTTTTTTGTAGTGCTGGGGGTTGAACCTAAGGCCTAATAAACTCTACCATGAAGCTGCATCCCCAGTCCTTTTTTATTTTGAGGGTCTTGCTAAGTAAAGTAGCCCAGGCTGGCCTTGAAATTATGATCCTTCTGCCTCAACCTCCTGAGCTGCAGTTACAAGTGTGTGCCACCATGCCTGGCCCAGATTTTTTTTTTTTTAACATAAATCTTTATTTATTTGAGAGTAATGCTCAGGAGTACATATATTAGGTCATATGGTGGTTACAGATTTAGTTTTTAAAGAAACTGCCAATTTTTTCCAGAGTACCTATATTATTTTATATCCCTACTAGCAATATATTAGTGATCCAGTCTCTCTGCATTCTTGCCAGTATTTAGTGTTATCATTATTTTTATTTTGGCTATTCTCATGGGTGTCCAATGACATATTATTGTGATTTTAATTTACATTTTCCTAATGACTAATGATATTGAACATCTTTTCATGTTCATTCAACAAAGGTAGGTTCTTTACTATCTATGTATCTTCTTCAAAGAAATCTCTTGTATTTTTTTCCCATAGCCACGTTGGACTATTTGCTTTTTTTCTCCCCTCCTCCACAATTCCCCCAGTATTGGGAATTGAACCCAGGACCCTGTATATGCTGGGCAAGTGCTCTACAACAGAGCTACATCCAAATCTTCTGATGTTTTCTATAGAAAATGTCCAAGGTTTGCAGCTGGGGATGTGGCTCAAGCGGTAGCGCACTCTCCTGGCATGCATGCGGCCCGGGTTCGATCCTCAGCACCACATACAAAGATGTTGTGTCCGCCGAGAACTAAAAAATAAATAAATAAATAAACATATCTCTCTCTCTCTTTAAAAAAAAAAAAAAAGAAAGAAAATGTCCAAGGTTTTAAGTTGTATTTAGTGGGAGGAATAGAAAAAAATTACATTATCAACTCCTATTTCCCAGAACTGGAAGTTCTCTTATAACATTTTGATCATGTTTACATTTTTCTAATTGTAATAGTACAGTTTCATTTTAGAAAATTTGAATATTTAGAAAAAACAAGTAAAATAAAATTACCTATAGTTAGTATTTCTAGCTTCTTTCTAGGTAATATAATTTTGTTTGTGTATATATATTCATATATATAAATATAATTTATAATTATATATTGTATCTACTATGTATATTATATATTGTATTTGTATTTGATTAATACAATTATACTTATATATAAAATATATGTATATTATCTGTCTTTACAAATCAAGTTTTCTATCCAGTTCTTTTCACAGTGTTAATTAAATCATAAGTTTTTTCCGATATTACAAATATCTATCTGTCAGTGGAGATGCTGACTTACTCATCTGTGATGAGCACACCATTCTCAAGCTCCTGTTGTAAGCAGAGCACTTAAGAGCAGGGCTCTAGCTATGCTGGCAGAGTAGTGGGGCACAAAGGAGAAGAGTATGTGGGCCTCAGGGAGCTCATATCTGGTGGGAACTCGAGCTCTCAGAATGGTGAGAGAGGGTAAAATAGAAAGGCTTATGCTCAAAACTGTGTCTTCAATGCGCAGAGGTTGTGGCCTAGTCTCAGTGAACCAGGGAAGGCTTTTGTGATGAAATTATGCTTCAGTTGAAAGTAGTTAGCAAGGCAGAGAATAGGAGTGATGTAGAACAAAGGGAAGACCTGTGAAAAGGTATTTTAAAACTTGTGAATTCTCACCGGCTTTTCAGGTATCTGTCAGTAAGCCTTTATCATTAAATTTCAGGAGACTGGAGCACCCATCCTCACTGATGATGTCAGCCTGCAGGTGTTCATGGATCATTTGAAGAAATTGGCTGTCTCCAGTGCCTGTTAAGCTAAAGATGTGACCAGAAAATTGAAGAAAACACTGTCAAATCATGGTCACAATTGTTTATAAATGCTTAATAACATTCCTTTCACTTTTCTAGCAGATTTTAACAAATAATCAAAGGAAGTTTTGTATGTAAGTCTTCAGATAATAATTTATTTGTATTCTTTATTTGTGTCCCTCTTCCTGTACCATGAAATTGTGAAGTCATAAATGTTTTGGTACTTGAAGATGTTTCTGTGCTTTTTGTATCCTAAATTTTGGGGGGTCTGTATAAAATCAGAGGTGATGTATTTTGGCAGCTTGTTCAAATGAAATCTTAAATGATCATAGAAGAAATAAATCTGGAGCCATTAGCTAAAATAATGCTAATTTTAACAAATTTGATTTCCTGAGGTCTCTGTGTGTGTGTGTGTGTGTGTGTGTGTTAACTCCCTTAAGACGTGTTTTCTGAACTTAATTCTTACTTACTGCCCAGATGTTGAGATCTATGGAAAGTATGAAATGTGTGAATTCTGTTGAGGCAGTGTGGAGGGGTGCTACCCTGATTCACAAGTAACTTCCATGTCAGGAGTCCAGCCCAGGTAGACATCAGGAATGACTAATGGGAAGCAGAGTATGATGGTGAACATCTATAAGCTCAGTGATGTAGGAGACTAAGACAGGAAAATCACAAGTTCCAGGCCAGCCTGGATAATTTAGGTGACCCCATATCAAAATAAATTTTTTTTTTAAATGTAGCTCAGTGGCAGAGTGCTTGCCAAGCATGCACAAGGTCCTGGGTTTAGTTCCCAGTAATGAGGGGGGAAAAAAGAAAGCATAAGTGGCTATAACAGTGAATACACAATCTTAGGTATCAAGTAAAATAACTTGAACAGGTACTGTTTTTTTAATCAAAGTAATACATATGTATGGTCAAAACACTTTATCCTAAAGAACTTATAACAAGTAACAATTTCCTTCACTCCCTAAACCTAAACCTACTCTTCTGACAATTTCAGACCTTCTCTTTGCTTATATTTTTTTTGTTGGTATATTTATGTTTAGCAGGTTATCTTTCCTATTTTCATAGAATGAGAGTATTAAGACCTTTGTCTCTACCCTCCAGTTTTGGTTAGCTATACCTTTATTTTTATATTATCAAGATTGATAAAATCTGTATTTTGGCCTATAACCATAATTTTGGTTTTGTCTCTAAGTTGATTGTGAAAGCTAATAAAGAACATTTACACAGTGTGATGATGTAAATATTGTTCATGTCCAATTGAGGGGGTGGTAATACATTTTTTTCTCCAGAGGGTTGTTGTCCCAGTCAGTCCCCATGCCACTAAAAGAAACATTCCAAATGATAAAATCATAGGCACTTGTGTGTTCATCATGCCACATGCTGGCTTGATTTTCTTTTGGTTTATGATTTCCTAGACTTGTTTCCCTTGGAATTTCTCATTTTGGATTGCTTTTTGAGAGTTTTTTTTTTTCCTTATCTGATTACTGAAAAATTCTAGCTAACTCTATTGAATTAGTCCGTTTTTTTTCTTTAGAGGTTTGCAGATGTCCAGTTGCTTTCTAGATGTGATGCATAACTGTCACCCAGGAGTTTCTTTCATTTGGAATCCTGCATTAGTTCTACTCTATCTTTATCCCATAGGCATTTTGCTATCTCAAATAACTTTTCCTAAAAGAGTACATGGGAAATATCATTGGATCTAGGCATATCTGCAAGTCTATTCTGTTTCCATATTTGGCAACTTTGCTGGATCTAAAATTCTAGGCCCCAAATAATCTTCTCTTAGAACCTTGGAGCTATTATTTCAATCCGTCAACAAAAAACTATCCAGTACTTGCTCTATGGAGTAGTCTACTAGGTGCTGGCAATATAGCAATGAGGTAAATATTCCTGCCTCCATGGAGCTTATGTTCTAGTTAGGGAAGACCAACAATAAAAAATTAGAAGTGAATGACATTAGAAGGTAATGATTCATCTGTAAGAAAATGAAAATGAATTCTCTAGAATTTTATGTTTGGTTTCTTTTGTGCCTGGCTTCTTCATGTAGCATAATCCACTTGAGCTTCATTTGTGGTACATGTTTCAGTAGTTCCTTTTTATTGTCAAGTGGTATATCACTTCATTTATACATTCATTAGTTGATAGACATTTGAGTGGCTTCCTTTTTTTGCTACTATGAATAAAACAGAACGTCCATATACATATCTTTGTGGACAGAGGTGTTTTTATTTCTCTTGGGTAAATAAGAATGGAATGGGTTGTGTGGTAGGTTCATGTTCAGGTTTAAAAACTGCTAGCTTTGCTAAGAGTTTGTTAACATTTTGTGTTCCCACCAGTAAATTTATGAGTTTCACCTTCTCCAAATCCTTGCAACTTTTGGTGTATTCTCAGTCTAAATTTAGTTATTCTAATGGGTGCTTTATGTTCATTTCTGTGATAACTGGTGTTTCTGCGCTTATTGACCATTTGTATACCTTTTATTGAATTCAGAAGTGTTATCTGCTTTTTAGTTGGGTTGTCTTTTTATAATTAAGTTTTCAGGAGTCCTAACATTCTGGAATACAAGGCCTTGTCAGATATATGAGTTTCAAAAATGTTATTCTGTCTTTGTTTTCTCCACTGTGACTTGTGAAGAGCTAAAATTCTATTTGAAAAAGTCCAATTTATCAGTTTTTGCTTTGTGAATCATGTTTTTTGTATTCTAAGAAATCTTTGCTTATCCCAAGGTGGCAAGGATTTTTCTCCTATGTTTTCTTCTAGGTTTATGGTTTTAGCCTTCACATTTAAGACAACTATACCTTTAGAATTAGATTTTGTAGGTGTAGAATGCCAATTTTTAAAAGGTGGGCAATGTGAAAAATTCTGAATAGCAATTTCTGTCACCCCATCCTCTGCCTCTCCTACTGGACATTGAACTCAAGAGCACTCCACCATTGAGCTACATCTCCAGCCCTTTTTATTTTGAGGCAGGCTCTCTCTAAGTTTCCCAGGCTGGCTCCAAATTTGAGGTCCTCCTGCCTAAGGCCCAGGAGTAGCTGGGATTACAGTGCACCACCTCACTTAGCTGAAAATGTTTTTCAGGCGTTGAAAAGAGGCTGGCAGGTGTTAGTATCAGTGTCAAATGCTCTTTAGAAATCAAGTTTGAGTAGTGTTAAAAAGTTTTAGTTTTGGACCAAACACACCAGCCTTGCTCTCAGATTGTTCAGTCTATTGAGTAAACTATACTTTGAAGAAATGAATGAATAAAAGCTGAAGGTGCATGGAATCAACAATGTTTTCATTTTTTGAGACATGGGCACGGTTTGTATGATGAACGATAAAAGTCAATAGAATGAGTCAATAGAATGAAAATGGGAGTGAGGTGGGCATTCGGGTGTAATTGATGGGGAAAGGTCCCGCGAAGGTAAAAGAATGTCATCCAGAACACAGAGGAAAGATTAGCTTTGACTTGGAGGTAACCAAAGTGCACCCAGACGGAATTCCGGACAGGAAAATGAGGGAAAGCAGAGTTGCGGCGAGAGAAGTGGTATCCTCACAAATACGACAAATGAAAGAGAAACGGAATGAACCTTTTCAAATAACTATATGACTTAGGTAAGAACGGCATTGCAATTCTTAAAGTGAGAGGTTTCGGCTCTGAAAAGTTACCATCTGTTCCCCACCACTTGTTGCGTGCTGTAGCTAGCACTAGTCTTGGATCCCAACATTCCCAGCTCAAGCGTGCGAGTAGAGAGCGACTTCTGAACTACACGCCCCAGGATGCACCGCGGCTAAGGCAGGAAGTGGCCGCGAGGCCTGTTTCTCATTGGTGGCGGCGGCTCCGGTAACGGACTGGTCCGGAGACCTGCTTCCGTTCTGGGCTACAGGCGACTGGACTCTAGGAGGTGCCGCGCCATGAACCCGGAACGGGCCACGACCTGGTACCGGCGGATGTCTGTGGTCTATGCAATGGGCACCTGGACTCTTTTGGGTTCGGCGTTTTACTTTGGCCAGAAAAAAAAGCCACCGGGTAGGATTCTCCAGGCCTGCCTGCTGACACACCGCCATCCGTGGGAAGTTCCCAGGGGGGTAATGGACGAGATTTGCCCTGGCTTTAAAGTTCCAGTTTTATTCTGCTAGGCTAGACGAAGCGGTGGCTTAGAGCCCTTTGTTATAATGGACTCTGCAAATAACTAAATGTCAGCAATTGCTTTTAAGATAGTGTTAACGAAGTCTTGTTTATTGACTGAAGTAAATCTGTAAAGGCCAAGATGGAATTTCAGAGACCCGGGACGAGAGCTTAACCAAGTGATGCTTTGAATCATTCGCCCTCGTCGCATATGGCGAGCAATTAATTTTAGAATTTTTAGCACCCGAGTACTGTTTAAATCTTTCCAATTGCTGGGCTGATAAGGGAATCCCTTAGTCATTAAATATATGTTGAAAATCTGTAGAGATAGAAAGTTGGTTAGTGTGGTGTGGGGAAGAATGTGAAGTGTGGGGAAGAATGGGAGTGACTGCTACAGGTATGAGGGTTTTTTTTTGTTGTTGTTGTTTGTTTTGTTTTATACGGAATGAAAATATACCAGAATCACTGATTGCACAAATCTGAAAATATTAAAAACCATTGAATTGTTTGTGTTTTGTTTGTTTGTTTGAAGGATTGAACTAAGGATTGAACCCAGCTCAACGCTGAGCCATATCCCCAACCCTCTTTATATTTTATCTAGAGACAGAGGCTTGCTAAATTACCTATAGGGCCTTGCTATAAGTTGCTGAGGCTGGCTTTGACCTTGGCGATCCTCCTGCCTCAGCGTCCCTACTGGGCCCCAAGCAAATTGTATCTTTTAAAGTGAGTTAATTGTATGGTGTGTGTGTGTGTGTGTGTGTGTATTTATATATATATATATACACACACACATATACATACATATATATCTCGGTAAAGTTGTAGTGTGAAACTTGTGCTGAAAGTGTCATTTGTTCATGAATATTAAGTATTTATGTCCAGTATTTAAGTATTTAATTTCTAGTGGTCATGTTTTTCCTTACTTTTTTTTTCTTTTTTCTCAATTCTGATGTTTGAACTCAGGGTTGCTTTACCACTGAGTGATATCCCCAACCCTTTTAAAACAATGTGTTGAATTCTGAGCATGGACTCACCAAGTTACTGTGCTGTACCTGAAACTTGAAATCCTCCTGCCTCAGCCTCCTGAATAGTCTTGTTTTTTTTTTTTTTTAAAGAAAGAAAGTACAGGCATCTGATGGCATAATTTTTACCTTTGTTTATTTCCAGGACTTTAACAATTGCTTCATAAGTTAATAATTGAGGTGTTTCCTTTTTTTTTTTTTTTTTTTTAAGGTAATGAAGTAGAGCAAAAGGATGTCTCAACAAGTGAAATACCTGAGTCCCCAAAACAGTTTTATGTGGAAACTATTGTCACATATAAAGAAGATTGTGTTCCATACACTACGAAGATCCTCGAGTATTTGAAATCATGGACTGGTAGTTCTGGATCGGAATCATGATTGATGAATTCTATAAATAAGAACTTTGGTTCAGCATTTAAATTTGATAGATGGGGCTGGGGTTGTGGCTCAGAGGTAGAGCGCTCACCTACCATGCGTGAGGCAGTGGGTTCGATCCTCAGTACCACGTACAAAAATAAAGATATTGTGACCACCTGTATCTAAAAAATAAATATTTTTTAAAAATTTTACAGATGACTTGATTTCCATTTTTGTTTCTGAATAGAATAATCATGTACCATGTAATAAATATTTCCTTGAAAGAAACTAAATTCACATAATTCAAGAAGTATTCCTCTATTTTCACGAGTGAAAAGTTGTTTGAAATTTCACATTGAGAGTTTCCATAAGCTTAATTTCCCGTAACTTCATATTTTTTTCATGTTGCTACTAGACAGAGCCTTAGTGGTCTTTACAAGGATAATTCAGGGCTGGAGATTTAGCCCTGAATTACGGTAATGTGCTTGCCTAGCATGCACCAACCCCTGGGTTTGATCCCCTGCCCTATACACACACACACACACACACACAGATAGATTCAACAAAATCATGATGTTTAGTTTGGGATTCACTAGCCCTCTGAGTACTATTGGGTTTTGGGTAAGAATGTTATGAATTAGCTTATAATTCTTTTTTTTTCTTTAATTTTTATTAGCTTATAATTCTTGAATTAAATAGACTTGACCTGTTCTTTAGTATCAGTGCAAAATCCCAATTCCTT